GTTAGTCGCCTCTTACGACAAGCATGGGTTACTGAAGGTTCATTCTAACTCGGACCTTCACGGGTAGATGGTTTGTGGTAGACCACAGATATCTATGACCAGTGACACAATGGGAATATCGATTTCATTCCCCGAGTCAATCAATAATTCTGTTTCTTGTTCATCATTCCCACAGTCTTGTCCGCGGGTTTCATTAAAGTTCAACCCGTGAAGATCCGGGTTAGAATTGATCTTCAGTAACCCATGCTTGTCGTAAGAGGCGACTTTCGAGATCGGGTGGTCATGCTCGCTGACTGGGTTGACACATGCCATTGTATCCCAATTGCGCAGATCGATGCCATGTTGTTGATCACTGGATTGTCTGGTGCAGATTCGATTATTTACACACCGCCGCCATATAGCTGGAATATTGCTGAGTGCGGCGTAAAACTAACCTCACTCACTCGCTCACAAAAGTTCAATATATATATCACGCTACTTTAAAGCAATGACAGTTGTACAAAGGAGGAGGCAGGATAAAAGCCCTTTGAAGCCCACGGGAACTGGCAAATTTGACATTTCCGGAATTCTTTGAAATACTGCATGAAAATATTTGACGTATACTGATGACTGACAGGTAGTCATTTGTTCTGTTCGGGACTTCCGGTATAATATCAGCGAAAATGAAGAAAACAGGCGTCCCAGGTCGAATATTTAAAAAAATCACAATACATTTGAAACGTCATTAACTAAATGTCTGAAAAGCAGCTTGGGTAAAACAACTTCAAAGTGAGCTTCCCTAAAACTGCTGACATGAGTATCTTCAACACGGAACAGCAGAGTCTGACACCACTCTTAGCAATATTCCAACAACATCACGATGGGGGACACCAGTAATTGGTTTGACACATTGTAACTATGAGGGGAATAGAACTAACGCATTACCCACTGGGCTAACACACCTCCCTTCTCCCTACACTGTGACATTTCCTTCCAACCGCCTCCGTGGTGAAGTGGTTAGAGCGTCCGCCCGGAGAGCGGAAGGTCGCGGGTTCGATCCCCGACCGCGTCATACCAAAAGACGTTAAAATATGGTACTTGTTGGTCCCTGCCTGGCGCTCGGCATTAATGGGTACAACAAGGACTGGTCGGCTCGGAGTCAGTATAATGTGTCTGAGTGGGGTATTCATGCTTCACTGCGGCATGGTATCTCAGTGGGCTAGCACTATAAAACCAGCTTCAGTCTGGGCTAGTACAAGCAGCCGCACATACACATACACACGCATGCACGTCGTCATATGAGCGAAATATTCTCAAGCACGACGTTAAACCCAATTTCACCTCACCTCACATTTCCTTCCATTTGGAAAAGCCTAAGATATGTCAAATTACAAATTAATAAGTGACTGTTGTGATTTTTATGCACCTTTTAAAGTGAGTGGTGAGTATGGTTTTTCGCTGATTTTAGTTATGTTCATATCACAGCAGAGGGCACAGGAAATGGGCTTCACACATTGTACCTATTTGGGGAAGCAAACCCAGGCCTACAGCGCGACAAGCAAACGCTTTGAAGACCAGGCTACCCGTTCGCCTTGATATTGTAGCACTATTAGTATACATTATATATGGAATTCACTGAGGTATAAAAAGATAACATTATTTTACATAAATACATGTAATACGCCAATGCTCTCTGACAAATCAATCGCAAAAACTGATTGTTTATCGACTGCTCGAGAGCAGGGAGATTAGCTCAAAGTAGTTTTAACGAGGATTTTTGCCTATTCTTAATTCTTCTCAAATAGTCAAAATGCAGCAAAACACGAGAGAACTATTGTTCCGGTGCCAGCAGTATTCCATCCCAATGTGGGTCTTGCGTCAGACATAAGCCGCCCTGGGCATCCAAGTAATTAACTCTTTACAACAATGTGTTTTTCTGAGGTCAAAGGTATTGATTGACAACCGCTATACAATATCCTATTTATTCATGGCACTTTTCTTCCTAATCCTGACATATGTGTATTATCAAAGGATTCTACTATTTCCATCAGTTAGACGATGGCAACTGAGGTGGTGGAGCGAATTAGGGTTCAAGGTCGCGTTCAAGATTAGTCCTTTGAGGTGAGGTGAGGTGAAATTGGGTTTAAGGTCGTGCTTGAGAATATTTCGCTCATATGATGACGTGCATGCGTGTGTATGTGTATGTGCGGCTGCTTGTACTAGCCCAGACTGAAGCTGGTTTCATAGGGCTAGCCCACTGAGATACCATACCGCAGTGAAGCATGAATACCCCACTCACACACATTATACTGACTCCGAGCCGACCAGTCCTTGTTGTACCCATTAATGCCGAGCGCCAGGCAGGGACCAACAAGTACCATATTTTAACGTCTTTTGGTATGACGCGGTCGGGGATCGAACCCGCGACCTTCCGCTCTCCGGGCGGACGCTCTAACCACTACACCACGGAGGCGCCCCTGAGGTGGTGGAGCGAATTAGGGTTCAAGGTCGCGTTCAAGATTAGTCCTTCGATAGAGCAAAGTGCATATGCCGGTGTTGCTGCGTTCCCATTTTGGGCGCTAACCCGAACCGATCAGTCCTTGATTTACCCCCTGGTTGGTTGGTTCGCTTATTTAACACTGCACTGAGCAATATTCCAGCTATATGGCGAATGTCTGTAAATAATAATGGAGTCTGGACCAGACAATCCAGTGATCTAACAGCATGGCAATTGGGATACGATGACATGTGTCAACCAAGTCAACGAGCCTGATCACCAGATCCCGTTAGTCACCTTTTATGACAGGTATGGGTTGCTAAAGACCAATTCTAACCCGTTCACGGGTCCATTTTCTAAGGCATATCCTCACAAGGCTACACATGTAATATAGATTGCCGCCATATAGCTTGAATATTGGTGAGTTTGGCTTTGAATATTGGTGACCTTTGGCTTAAACTAAACTCACTCATTCACTCACTCACTCACCTTAGGAAATGTCAGTTGACATTACAGGAAAGTGAGTGAGTATGGTTTTACACCGCTTTTATCAATATTCCAGCAACCTGAGGGAAACCAGAAATCAGCTTCACACAGTGTTCCCATGTGGATAATCAAACCAGGTCCAACAACGCTTTGAACATTTTACTACCCAACCAGCCAAGGAAAACACCAAGTAATGGAGGACATTGATGTTTATTTCTTTGGTGAAACACACAAGCACACGCATTCAGAGAAATCAGGGACAATACACTTTGAAGACATTTCATTATTTACCAGTTTTCCCATATTTATCATCACAAAGTGACAGAAAATGTCAAGCAGTCTATTACATATGTTTTGGCACAAAAATTGTTTGATTATCAAACTGATTTGACAAGAAAATATTACATATACATTCCAATATCACTAAATCGTACATCTGCTACATATTGAACTAAAAACTCCACCTTGACAGTTATGGTCAATAAACAAATGTGTATACACAAAGAAAGTACATATACACATTCATCAACATCTGTTTGATACAGCCTTCCTTGCTCCTACTCATCTTGACTAAATGCCTGGGCCCTGTGTAGCGGCCATAAAAGTTCCAAGTCCCATGCTTGGATTCAAACTATGGACCTTCTGATCAGAAGTCAGGCGCCTTGTCCACATGACCAAAGAGGTTAACCCCATCAGCAAGCTGACAAGGTAAAGATGTCTTCTGTGGGAAGACTCCACGCCCTGCTACACCCATTTCACAAAACTCTCGTAGCGCTACGACTACGCTAAGTCAATGTTACAGTATAGGAAGTACGAATGCTACAAGAAAAGTTACGAGATCTAAGGCTTACGAGAGCTCTGTGAAATGGGCCCTGGCCTAAATCAGTTTTGTACATTCTTTATCCCTGGGCCACGTTTCACAAAGCGATCGTAGCGCTAAGGTGATCGTAACTCCCATACTTTAACTTACGACACTCATATCACTACGATTGCTTTGTGAAAATGGGCCCCTGGGCCTAGATTTTCGAAGCTCTCTTAGTGGTAAGACAGTCGCAAGTGCCATACATTAACATTAACTTACGACTCTCTTAGCGTTAAGAGAGCTTCGAAAATCTAGGCCCTGGTGTTTAATCCAAAGACTGAGAGCAATTCCATATCTAGAAATACCCAGCCTATAACTGATGATCTGATGACCATCTGAAAACAATATTACAATATTGATACAACATATGTCCTACCTATGCTATAATACATCTTATTTTTGTAGATTCGTAAATGAAACTTCATAATAATTATCTTATATAGCTTAGCAAAAAATAATTACTTTACTACAACTTCCTGTTAAGGAAGATTCTTGACACACAACGGCATTTCTAGTTCCTATGTAAAGTCATAAAACTGTCTAAAATATTGTTCTATAAACCGGCACCATAACTCTGTCATGATAATAATAGGTCATCATCAATTTATCTAGAATATGTAAGTTCTCATTTCAAAATAGTGTCCTGATATCTATATCAATATTGCAAATGAAAGACAATGATTCACAGCTGAAAGTCATTGGTGCAGGAAAGCTTCCAAAATGTTCCTTTTCATTAAACAACAATCACTGCCTTCTACGACTTAAAAGACTTCAAAGTATTAAATAATCACTTGGGATTCATTGGAACCTTTATGTACAGTTCCTTTCATGTCCATATTCGACTAAACATGTGATCATTCTGATAACCATCTCTGTAAAGTAAAACTCAGGTACATTTAGATGACAGTTTCTGTGAGTTTGTACCTAAAAGTTAGTGAGTTTAGTTTTGTGCCGCTTTTCACAATATTCAAACAATCTCACGGCGGGGACACCAGAAATGGGCTTCACACATGGTACCCATGTGGGTAATCGAACCCGGGTCTTCGGTATGATCAGCAAAAGCTTTAACTACTTGTCTACCGCACTGCCTCCATCTCTTAAAGACTGACTGACTGACTGAGTTTGGTTTTACGCTGCTTTTAGCAATATTCCAGCAACATCACGGCGGGGGAACACCCCGTCTCTTAAAGAATCATCCTACCAAAGTGATGTGATGGAGTTAGCAGAGTGATTGAGTATTTGTGTAACATCAGGGGCTCCTTTCACGAAGCAACCTTAACTAAGGTTAACCTTAACTCCCATTCTTTAACACTGCACTGAGGTTACTGTATTGACTTACGATCACCTTGGTGCTTTGTGAAAGGAGGCCCAGGGCCTGTTTGATGGAAGAACCACAACTGATTCAGGATCACTGACATATATCACTGTGATGAAACCCACCAACAGATTGAAAATAACAAGAATAGAACCAGCCAAATCTCAGATTCAAACCCATCTTCTGAATGCCTTTGAAAACTAAGGGACAAACAGTTGGGGAGCAAATTAAAGAGCCATAGTCAACTATGCTCAGAGTAAGTGTCACTGATGATCAGTTCCACCTGAAAAAAAGTTCCATTCAGAACACACATGGCCAGTGCAGATGCATAATGGGCAAATTTCCATGGGAATAATTCCTCCAGAGAACTATAGTACAAATACCCTGTTACATAAGTGTCGAGGCCTTTCAAGACCAACCTTCCACTTCATATGAAACACAATACTTCAGCAATATTAAATTTAAATCTGTCTCAAGTCACCAACTGCAATTGTCCTTATAAGTAGTTTTGTGGATAACATCTCTTTTCTGGGGTTCAGCAACTACATGATCCAATGATTTTTTACAATGGAGGTACAGGATATCATCATAAAAGAAAGGATATCACACAATAAAGGATCTCATATAATAAAGGATATCATATTAATAAGGATATCACACGATAAAGGATATACAATAAAGGCCATAACAATAAAGGCTATCACACAATAAAGGATGTCATACAATACTTTGAACATTTCACCTAAAACATGCTTCTCAGAACAAAATGTCAAACAATAATATACTGTCTTCAAATTATTCTGTATTATACATACTTATGAAAGTAACATTGCAAGTGTTATGTCATTAATCATCTATCAATGGTTATTCGCTTGAGGAATAGCGTTTGTGTCCTAGCATCCCATTGGCTTAGAGATATAACCAAGTTTGTCATCATTTGGCTCCACAAGGAAGTTGTAGTTACAACAACATAATAATGGAGTGAGTGAGTGAGTGAGTATGGTTTTACACTGCTTTTAGCAATATTCCAGCAATATCACAGCAGGGGACACCAGAAAAGGGCCTCACACATTGTACCCGTGGCGAATGAAACACAGGTGTTTGACATGACAGGCTAGCGATTTGACCACTGAGCTAACCCACCATCCATGACATCACAATGAGTGATAGAACTGAATTTAAACATGGCACTTTGAACATGTTTAAAAGCATTAAGTTATAAAGTCACTGTCAGTTATTGTGAGAAGATCTGAAACTTTATACAGGTCATATTTTCAAACCAATAACCAATTTCTGGTAACAATAGCCAAAGGATGCGGTAGTCATAACATTATCAACAGCAGATCCTAGGATGCCTAAGGGGCATAACTCAAAACTATTCAAAATCATGTTTTGCACATACCTAAACTACTGCAGCACCATTGTTTGACCCAGCATAGAATTATCAATGTGTCAGATGACATAATTAACATTTTCTTTGGAGCCAAAGAAATCTAAATATCCCAAATTGTAAGAAAAATACTCCATACCAATTGAAATTTACATAAGACTTCTGATGAAAATAACAGATTTCTTGATAGGCCGACCACCAGGGTCATAACAGCTTAGGTTACTCCTGTTTCCTGATTCTCATCAGTAATATCTTCAGATTGGCCTCCAACAATGTCTAGGAGTCCTGGATGTGTCTGGCAATGGTCTGGGGCAGGGGTGGAGAAGTCAACATCTACAAACATCTTGCATCTTATTGAGGGACTGTTCAAATTATGTATTTTTTATATTTTTTTATTATTATTATTTTATTTTATTTATTTATTTATTTTTTTTTTTTTTTGGGGAGGAAATGATAAAAATTAAGGGGGAGGCGGGTCATTCATTTGTACATGATTTGCATGGGCGGTTACTTGTTTTGTTGGTAAATTTTAGGAGGGGATCATTCACATTGTACATGCTTCTGCATAAAAATCATCAGCACCCCCCTTGCTGTATATTATGAACAGTGCCTTAACGCTAAATAGGTATACAGAACACTATACATCATGGTCATCAGCACACAAGAACTTCAGACACTAACAAGAGAAGTGCATGTTTGGTTTCACAAATGTTTGTTATATTTAATATGCCCTTAAGAATTCATATTTTAGGTTTCTAACTTATGATTTATTCACATATTTATTCAACTTTCTTCTTCTTGGAAGCAAAAACCCGAAACTGGACCCGCAGTTGACAATAACGAGGAGTAAAGTTCCAGCCGCATTATAAAACTAGCTACCCATGGTCAGTCTTTACATGGTTTTATCTGAGTATTTGTCAAAATTATTATTACTTGTGAAAAAAATGTTGGTATAAAATGAGGATTTTATAGCTGTATATAAATGCAAAGATCAATTACTACTGATCAATAAAGATAGATCAAACATATATTCAAATGCCCTTCGAAAATGTAGCAAAAAAGAAGAGCAATACAACTCAATTCCATGACATAATACATGAAATAATCAACAAAATGAGAAACAGCCATCCAGTCATGAAACAATAGGCTATTAGCACTGTCATGATACTTAACTACAAACTTCACCAAATTCGATCATTATCAACAAAAAAAGACCTGATCCCAAAAATATTACATAACAAAAGACAAGAAAATATATTCAGAACTGCTGTCCAAAATTAATTCATTAACAAAAAAACAAATATCAACATTAAATACCAATGTATGGGGTACAGCAAAAAGTTAGGTGATTCACATTTTCTGACCAACAATTTACATCTGATGTAACGGTATTTGTCTTGTACATTTCTAAACCATCTACTATGATGCAGAATCAGGGGGACAGTAATTTACATCTGATACATTTGAGTTGACTAACTTATAGTCCAATAATACAGTTATATTATTCTAAAATATATATCTTCAATAAAATCTACATAATTAAACTCCTAAAGGAGCTCAGAACAATTCGTGTTTGGAACTGATTCAATCCAGATTGGCCCAATTACTCGAGACTTGAGATGACATTTTTAATATATTTTCTTTGGTGCAGAAGAATTAAAAGTCTTTGAGAGACATCTAAAAGTTTAGAATTCCTAATTGTAGTAAATGAGCTGCATATTTATACATGTTTTACATAATACTCTTATGATAACTTCCATAACTTCAACATTTTCTGTGAAAAGCGCCTTTCCTTTTTCAATTTCATCATGTATCTTATTAAAATATTTCCATGAGTGCAATGAGTTGTATGCATCTGATACTAGTTTCCTTGCCTTCATTCGATCAGCTGATCGCTATTGGCAACAAATTATCCTTTAACTTTGAAGTACTAATGCCTTTATCATGATGAGAAAGAACCGAATCACAAATACCAACAACAAGCACACCCAGTAGCATCATAAATCAACATGGCTGCCTTTGAACATAAACCAAGATTTATCTGCCTTCTACCTTATACTAGTACACCCAGTACAGTCCCTTACCCAGGAGATGTTGATACCCAAGTTGAAGAAAAGGACAGACCAATTTTATTTCTTGTTTTATGGATCCTCCAGTCATATTTTTTCAAGAATAAAGAAAAAAACATTTTTTAAATTTTCCCCACTCAAAAAAAATTCCTGTTTTTTGGGGCCAAAAAAGTAAACTTACAACAAAAAAATTTGGGGTTGTTTTTTAGCCCCATATACACTTCATAAATTGCCAAAAGTAAAACACTTTTAGTATTTAAAAGGAATATTACTTCGACTGGTGAGTTTTATTTATATTTTTTTTCCATCCAGCCTTTAGATTTTCTGAGGACAAAAACCTTAAAACAAGAAACAAAATTGGTCTGGCCTAAGAAAACAACTCGTCAAATTATCCTTGCAACCAAAATGTTTGCGTTAAAAGATTCTTGAAAATCAAGTTTGAACACAAAGAATCTTAAGAGAAACACCCTTAAAACAAGTATTACCAAATGAAAAGATAGAACAAATAGTTTGTACCCTTAAACACAAAAATGCTTGAATGTACGATCCTTCAAAGCTGTTTCTGTCATTTCTTTGTCAGTTCTGTTGACTGCCATGTCTTAACTAACACAATTCAAAATGGTTCAGTTGTTCCGTTTGCGCTGTGTCAAATTTTCTCAACCCAGAACTCACACTTGACATTATTTTCAATAGATTTGAGTGACAACAGACTCAGCTTAATTAGACTTAAAAAAACCTTTACAGGCACTTATTGACAACTTTTTTGTCTCTTCAACTCATTCCATACAAAGATTTCACCTTAACAAATGGACAACGTTTTTTTACCAAAAATGGACTTGAAAAAGATGAGAATCACACAGAAAAAAGGCACAATGAACACATTTAGTCTCAAATGGTCATATATTTATTTAAATTTTCCCTATTTCATTAAAAAAATGAAAAACAAAACTTTTAATTGGTCTTTCTGATAACAAATAATTTCAATGAAAGAGAATTTGGTGCTGAAAATATGGAGTTTCAGCTAAGTAGGAGCTTGTCATACCTGGAGGAGTCGGATGTGAGGAGTCTTCTTGGGGATGAGCGAGATGCAGAGGTTGCCCTGCTTACCATTAGCCTCAACTTGGGAGGTGTTAGTGATTTTCACATACCTGTCCTCAATGTCTTTCACCAGCTCCAGCACCCCACTGAAGGTGATCCTCAGCTGATCCCCAACACTAACCCACACCCCGATCAGAGGCTTGCAGTCACGGAGGATCCGCTGAAGGCCGTCCAGGGTGATGAGTTTGTTCCGACAGATCATCAGGCTCTTCAAAGATTTGCTGTAGTTTGCAATAGCAATCAGTGATCCATTTGTAAGCCTCATAGACTGGATGGCTGAACCACCAGAGATGTCCAAAAAGTGGAGGTTATGGCAAGACCTTACAAGAACCTCCACAGCAGTATCTGTGATCAGGAAACAGCCCCTGAGAGACACATACATCAGATCTGGACAGTGTTTTGCCAACTGTTTGACAGAGTCATTAGCAATCTTGGAGCAGAAGCTGAGGTGAATGCTTGTCAGATGGGAATGGTTAGGATGAGGGAAGAATCTGTTTACGTAGGCAACTTCTGATAATTGGGAAGCATCTTCTTCTGGTGTTGTCGGTTTTGGAGGATCTGTGTCTGATGGTGACGAACACTCTGACACACAGCAGGCAGACATTCCTGTTCCTTTGTCTATCACTATGGACTTTGGCAGTACAACTACAGGCAAACCACTGTCACCATTAAGATCCATACACAAGCTGGATCCAATTGTACTGAAGGTCTGTACTCCTGTAGGACTCTTAACATCCTCAGACTGAGTGACACGTTTCTGACTTGGATTACAATCAGTCCCTGCTGCTGCTGCTGCGCCAAGATTCTTGTCTTCATCTGGATGAGATGAGACAGTTACAACAGCACTTGTTTTAGAAACTGATACCAAAGAAGATTCTTCAGGAGCTCTGGGAGCTCTGTTTTCTGTTGGATCATCTGTTATTGTTTTGGGTTCCTGTTCTTTTTTATTTGTACTGATACCTGTCCCAAGGTAAGCATCTAGATTTATCTTTGCAAGGTAATGGCAGGTCTCCAGGGAAAGATTACTGAGCCATCGACACTTGGCTAGAAGGAGAATGATACTCTTGGAAGTCACATGGATGCACTCGGTGAGGTTGACATGATACAGCCATTGACAGTGTTCAGCTAAAGCCATCACAGACAGGTCCGTAATCCCTCCACATCCTGATAACCCAATCTCAGTCAATTGTGGGCAATTTTCCGCTACTGCAGTGATTCCAATGTCAGTCACACCATCACAGAAGTTGACGTCCAAGATCTTTAGTTTGGGACATCCACTTGCAATTGAACTCAGTCCGACATTAGTAATATTACAGCCTCCTTCATGATGTAATCGATTCCCGATAAGTTTCTCCAGATTTGGGCAATTGTCCGCTACATGTCCCACACCGATATCAGTGATGTGGATGCATCCTGTAATATCCAGCTCTTTCATGTATGGGGAACTCTCTGCAATGACCTTCAGCACCTTGTCCTCAATTGGAGTATGTGCAAGACCAACACTGACCAGATTTGTGGCAGTGCCTCTAATGCCAATGAAAGCGTCCTGAGAGATATACTGACAATGAGCTAAAACAAAACTTTTAATATTCGGGCAGTTTTCAAACAAGCTTGCAAGAGCATCATCAGACAGTTCTTCTGAATCTATGACAATCTTCTCCAGACGTGGACATGAGACAAACAGCTCCTTCAGCTTTCTATTCAACCTTTCCGGCTCAGCTGAACAACCGAAATCATCAAAGGACACTGACTTGAGTTTCTTCAACGTTGACAGGTAAGCCAGACAGTTGTAGATATTAATATAGCTGCAGTCATTAATCTCAATTCCTTCAAGATTGGGATATTTCTCAACCAGATATGCAACACTTCCATTACTGACTGTAGTCAAACTGAAGTTGATCGATTTGATTTGAGGACACGATATGTTCTTGTGAATGAAGGAGACATCAGTGAGATGAACAGCCATGCCAAAGTCCAGCTTCTCAACATGATGAGCAACACTCTCCAGCAGAGCGAGGAACGACTGATCCGTCAGGTGATCTCCGATATGGTCAAGGTCAAGGTGTTTCCAGAGGTAGCGATCGTAGCTGAGCTCATACCACAGTTTACAAGTCTGTCGGACAGTGTTGATGATGTCCTGGATCTCAAGGAAGGAGAAGATGTGAAGGAGGACGGTGTGAGGGAGATCACAGAGGACGAGGGATTTGTCTGGGAAGGACATTGTCCTCTGTTGATCGGTCCTCAAAATCTTCTTGTTACGTTTCCATTGGCTTGTTCAGATATCACATTAAGTCTTGCAACTGACTTCATGTCTTGACATCAGCTGAATCTTGATACACAACAACACAGGAATCCACGACAAACCAGGTCGGTCTGACAGCAAAACACGACCTCACCACACGATTATACCTTGTCTTGACATTCCAATACACACTAAAGTCAATGAAAGACTATGGTTACCGTTTAAAAATAGATATCTCTATTGAAAATGTTTCATATAAAAATGCATGCTTTCACACTATGAAATATACAAGAAATATATAGACATATATGTCTTTTCACACAAAGCCTTTTAATAGCAGGCATAGTGGCCCTAAAATGCACATTTCAGTATTTTGTACTGAACTAAGTGTCGAAAGCTGTTGTACATCAACAAAACAAAGTTTCAAACAACAGCCAACTCATCAGCTGAAAAGCCAAACTGTCTAACACAGGATTTGTGGAGCACCACGGATTATCTTGCAGGGATAAATTCAGTGTTGTAACCATGGAGATTGCCCCCTCATCCATCTGAAACAGAAAGTCAGTATTAAAACAATATTCCTGTGATACTCATTGTAGAATTGTTTTTGATGATGTGTCCTTACCCTAATGACTGAGAGAATTATAATTGTTATAAACCTGATTGAGCTTCCTGATGAGGGATCAGTCAGAGGCCCAGATAAGCTGCGTATCCTAAATTATCCGGTAAAATAACGATAGAATTGGACGATCATTGAAAAATAATTTGTATCCGGGTAAAATAATAGCATTACGCATTGAAAAATAATTGTTGCGTACCAATTACGCATTTAAAATGTTAGATACACAAAAAGTTTAAAACAAATGCGTACGGAATATATTTATAAAAATCACTTGAGTAATAAAAAAGACATCGATTGCTATCAAGTTGTACTGTTAGTATAGGACAAGTGTTGTAATGTCAGTATAGGATGAGTGATTTTTCTATGAAATAATTTCCATTATATTTAAGTTGGTTTTGATTAGGTATGACATAAGGCAGTACATACCTGCTTAATAAACTTACTCAATGACATAATACTTAGGTGAGTAAAATGACTGAAATATGCACATATTTGAAAGCAGTGGGTAACGGAAAATGAAATACCCACTCAACATTCATAATACCCACTCCAAAAAAATACAGTGGACACAATTCCCACATGAGCTAAATCTTATCTGGAGCTTTGGATCAGTCATCTTGCAATGGAATGACTGCTGGCAAGTTATGACTATTATAAACCTGATTGACCTTCCATTACTGTCTATAAACATTTTCAAACAAAAAAATAAAATTCATGATTCATTGAACTGCCTTACATAAACAGAAGTTTGAAACCAATGATTTGTTTTGTCTCAATGCATGGTTCCTGGTTAAAGGGAGATAACTATGTTCCATCAGAACAGGGCTTAGAAACAGGATTTTACAAAGCTTCATTCAAGTTATGTTTGTTTGGAGTTGAATATCAAATCCCCCCAGTTCAGTAATGTTTCATCTATGTGACAGCAGCGAAAAAAGTCAAATCTCTAAATAGAATCCGACCAGGTTTATCAGTGAGGTGCTCTACAATTGTGCTATATTATGACAGTCTATATATATTAAGGACACATGCAACTTAAGAATAATAACTGGATTTTTGAACTTACCAAGCTTGAAAGATGTGAAAAGATCTAAATCAAAACATTTTGAAATACAATAAACCATAAGTTGTTTCCATAAAGTTGTATTTAATCTTATTTACTGACCAACTTAGAAGACCAATCAAACAGTAATGGCTAATTTCACTATCATTCATTGCCATAATTTGGGAGAAAGTGATTGAGTTTGGTGTAACACCAGTTATAGCAGTATTTCTGCTATAGAGCAGCATGTCACCTTCATGTGGGCAAGTCTGAACAGATGCAAGCCTTTGTGTTGGTAAAATGAGTATGCCACTCAGCTGAGTTCATGAACCTTTGTCAGAAACACAAGTGGATCATGTCATGCAATTTAGTAACACTCGAATCAAAACCATTTTCAGTAAAACCAAACAGAATCTTAGAACCTCACATTCTTAGAAATTTGTTTTGCCAAGGGGGCGGTGGGGTATCCTCATGGTCAAAGCGTTAGCTCGTCATGCCAAAGGCCCAAGTTCGATTCCCCACATGGATACAATGTGTGAAACCCATTTTGGTGTCCCCCGCTCTGATATTGCTAAAAGCGGCATAAAACCATATTCGACTCAGTCAGTCAGTTGTTTTGCCGAGACTTGTGCAGATGACCAATGACAAACATGATTTCACAACTCATCATAGTTTGTAGCAAATCTTTATTGAACATGACAAAAGCTTAACCAAGTTACTATGGCTTACACCAATCATTTAGACTCTGTGGGGCAGTCCTAAAGAACAAAACTCCAAGACTGACAGGTCAGGTTGAGAAACCTTCTTGGCTTGCATGCTGAACTTCAAACATTGTGATATGATACCTATATTCATTTTGTCTGTCATTCCAAGCACTTTGTACCTACATCCCTTGTGCCAACATATAGTCATAAACACTGAAAATATATCATTCATAATCACTGAGATGACACAGCAGGTATTGTTCCTTCTGTACAGGTATAGAAATACAATCGAGCACCGTTGTATCGATATTCATGGGACCAAGAAAAAATATCGAGTTATCCAAACTTCGAGACATCCGACCAGGGCATATCATCACATATCACTATGAAAGAAAACAAAACGCTTCTCAGTATGTTTTGATTCGAAACTATAATCCGTTATCAGTAGTGTTCAGTCGTAACAGTGAGTACTTCCTAATTAATTCCTTCTTAATTAATCCTAATTAAATAACAACTCAATTAGCTGCATCCCTTTGATTCATCCCACACCATTTGTAAACGTGTGGAGACAACCTCAGTTCAGAGGGATACTTGCCCATGAAAGGTAGGCGAATATCGAGTTTCTTTGCAAATATCGAACTAAAAGGGTAATTTTGGCTTGTTGGGACCATGAAATTATATCGAGATATCCAAAATATCGAGACATCCGTATCGAGTTAAAAGAGCTTGAATAATGACAAATTATGAAAGATCTTGTTGGGACCGAGATGTTATATCGAGACAACCGAGATATCGTGTTATCAGAGTTCGACACAACGGTGCTCGACTGTAGTTATATATAACGTAACATGTCCTCTACATAGAACTGTACACATTATTCCCTGAAAATACCCATGACAATCTGGGTCAGACTTGATCTTCGGTAACCCATGCTTGTCATAAGAAGCGACTAACGGGGTCGGGTGGTCAGGCTTGCTGACTTGGTTGACACATGTCATCGTATCCCAAATGCGTAGATTGATGCTAATGCTGTTGATCACAGGATTATTTACAGACTGCTACCATATAGCTGGAATATTGCTGAGTGTGGCGCAAACCTAAACTCACTCACTTATTCCCTGAAAATGCATAAATGAATGATTCCATGGTTACCTGCAGCCTTGATCATTGATGACCTTTGATGAGGAGAATGTCCTGCTTACATCTCTCTCCATCTGAAGCACCTGAAGAGTGAATGTATAATTATTGGGCAGGACCGTGTAGTCATACACTGGAAGACTGACTGACTGACTGAGTTTGGTTTTACGCCGCTTTTAGCAATATTCCAGCAACATCACGGCGAGGGGACACCAGAAATGGGCTTCACACATTGTACCCATGTGGGGATTCGAACCCGGGTCTTCGGCGTGACGAGCAAACGCTATACCCACTAGGCTACCCCAACGCCCCTACACTGGAAGAGATGCATCCTGGTAGTCAAACAATACCGCAAGGATACGACATGTATGTTCATGTCAAATCATGTGCAAATATTTTGAGTTTAAAGATTTCAGATGATGCTCCAAAGAAATAAATACATGTAGCTGTAGATGCATATTTGGAGTGGCTATTTCCAGCAGTAAACCTCTTGACTAAAACGCTAAAAACTTAATCCACTAATTAAGTGAGACTCGTGAGACTCCCAACTATGCTTCTCATCAGGAGGAGGATGCGCAGTCAAAGCGGCCACAGAGACTCAGAAAACCTCCTAGACGCTTTGAAGACTATTACATGGACATTTGATATTTCCACGTAAATTGTGACGGATTATCCGTATTGACTTCTCCACATGAACATTATGTGCCCGAATGAATGCAGTATCATCAGCATTTCCCCTGTTTTATAATATATTTTTCCACTTTTCAGAATACAAGAGAAAAGGAAGTTGCGCCAGTAGAGGCCCTTCACATTATGTTAGTTGCCAGCAGTTGTTGGGAAAACCCTTTTGAGTGACAACCTCGTGTTTCCGGTTGTTCCCCCCCGGCAATTGTTGTTTTGACTATCACAGAGTAAAGTGTGTTTACCTACGCTAGTTTTCGGTCGTTGTCACTCACAGGCGCAGTTCCTTTTGCAATATTTGACTGACAAAAGGTTGCGTTTCGGAAACATCATTAAATGAGCAGGAAGTAATTTGGCAAGTGTATTTTCTTGTATCGATACAGAAAAGCCTTATCATGTATCATGTCATTTAATGAGCAGGAAGTAATTTGGCAAGTGTATCTTCTTGTATCGATACAGAAAAGCCTTATCATGTATCATGTCATTAAATGAGCAGGAAGTCATCTTTGGAATGTATCATGACATCGAATGAAAACACACAAAGCACCAGTGCACTAATGCATTGTTTTAACCTTAATGTTTATAAGGCAGGACTATAGGTTGATAACCTTGAAATGTAAGGGCATGTCAATTAGGATACTGGAAATCTATCCACAGAGATATGTACCCAACTATAAAGGCTAACCCAAGCTAAAATTCCTGATTTACTATATAGATCTGTCATATATTTTGCAGGATGCTGATATACTTCAACAGTGAGGGTATGGTTAGTATGCTTACTGACATAACATTATATCCGTGTGCTTCCGATAGATAATCAGGAAACTGTTAGTCAAGGTTTAACTGTATACAATATACATCTAGCAAGTGAACTGTGACTAAATAAGTCCTTTGTGACGTTTGCTGGTGATGACAGCTCTCGGATAGCCGACCAGAAATGAACATCATCAGACTTCTACAAATGATTGTTAGAGAGTTTAAATATATTGAGATCACCTGGACGGCTCCACACACCATACCAAACGATTTACGTGTCGATCTAGTTAAACAACAAACAATTACCGATCACCAAACTCCATATAACACTTCTTGTGAGTCAGCTGGCTGTCAAATTCATTGCGAGTTACCTCCCTTGCCGGAAGTACTCGGAAGTGGGTTGGAGGAAAGAAAGTGCCTGACAACACCGACAACAAAGTGAGATTTCTGCTATGCAAATATCTTTACACTGATCGTACTTATCATTCAAGCATAATTGTCAAAGGTATTTTGAAATCAATACATTTAATGCAAAGAGATGGGGTTTTTTCAGTGCATATTACAGAATTACTTGCCACTTTTATTGAAGGTATACTAAACGGGCACTTGTCAATTGTTTTCAGTCCAGTTGTTGAATTTAAAGTTACTTGAAAGTCAAGGCTCATGTCTTCTTAATTTCTTAATGCCGATATAAAGTTACTAACTGCTATTGCATTCTCTTGTTGCTGTTTTGTTAACCAATTATTTTATTTTTGTTATTTTGTTATTTTGTTTGATTTACTTGAAGACACAAATCAATACGCAACTAGGATAGCCCAAGTGCATGAACAGAGGTATATATTTGGGATGCAAAATTTATTTTTTGTCATAGATCCTATCGTGAATTGTACAACAGTTGCGTCAGTTTGGTCTGAATGAACTGAACCAATTATTTCATTTTCAATGTCTTTATTTGACTTGGTTGGATTTTAGTTGCTACAACACTTCAGAATGACAAAAGTGTTATAAAACCATTACAATTCTGGTGTGAATCTAACCATTCTTCTCCTTAGAACAATCTAAAGAGTTCTTATAATAATAATTAGAGCATGTTTGTAAAGAAATACTAAATTTAATGACTTTCTTTGATAATGTTTTAAACAATCAGTAGTACCAGTAATATAACACAATCATGATAGTAATATGGAGATTTAAGAATGAAAACATTACAATCACCAGAAACCTATTATCAATGTGTTATCAATAACATCTTTTGCTAGATTAGTAGATGTTCATTTGGTTTTAGTTCAAGAGTAATTGTCAACTACCACAAGCATGGGAAAGACAAATCCTGAGCCCCAGAATGCCTCAGGTCAGGAGCCCCCAATGTATCTACAGAGGCCGTCAACAGGCCACTCACAAGATGTGCGGCACATCCTTGCCAAATGTTTCCGGCAGTTATACACTCGAGATGCTGTAAGACCGGAGACCGTGAAGAATCTTCAAGTATCAAAAGGAGGAGATGACCCATATCATGAGAGATATGTTGACTCCCTACAGAAGGTAATATGGGAAAATTTATAAACTTAATTTACTGACAATATTTTTTGGTTAAATAAGAAGATGCATTGTGTTGATGTTTGTAGTCTGGGTGTGCCGATGGCAGTTTCATAGTCGATACCAACAATCGGATCCATAGGACATCACTTCGAGTTCCCAAGGTCTTAGTGATGAATTTGATTAAAAATGTTCTTTTTATGGTAAAGTTCCAAGGAATATTTGGTTTGGAGAGTTATTTTTCAGTAAATTGATAATAGTATGTCGAAACAGATAAATATGTTTCTATGAAACGTAATATGAAAACAAAAAATGATTGTTTGTCATTGAAAACAGGTCATATCTTTATGTTTGTGTTGTTTAAAACTTTTATGTCAAGATATGCATTTTAATTAACTTGCATCAATCCTTCTGGGGAAATCTTACTTTTTATGTTTTCTTCTCCAACTTTCTGTCGTATTGATCAAAATAATGATCAAATAAAGGAGAAGAAAATTATTTGAATAACCCAAACTGATATTGTTTTTCATTATCCTGCTGAATAACTGTAAACTTTGGAACTTAAGTAAGTTCAATGATGTTCACATTAAAAAGAAATGTGTTGGTATGATTTGCACAATGTCATCAAAGGGAACTGACTGAAGTGAGTGTTTCAGGTCTACACTGAGTGGCAGAGACGTATGGATGAAGCAGCCATGTTAGAAAGGCACATCATGCAAGCCCAGGCACGGGCAATGTCAGCTGATGAGAGGGAGTTGAATAGAACAGCTCAAAGTTGTGACAAATATCCCGATCTCGGACTTCCACCTGGTTAGTACAGTAGACAACATTTCAAGTCTATAATTTTTCTTGAAAAATCCTAAACTTAAACCGTGATAATTCCGTGTTGTACCAGCAGCCACACATACATGCATATTACTGTTTAGTGAAATATCCTGGAATGATATTCCCTATTCCACTTCACAATCTTTAGAGAAGGATATTTTTGTTTGTAAGGAGCTTGCAGTGCCTTGATTTGGTAATCTGTGAAAGGCATCATCATCGCCGTTGTCGACATCATTATCATCATATTTATCATACATTTAATGCTCAGGTCGATCCCATTTCCGTTCCTGTATTGACACGGATCTTCTGAAGAAACACAACCTACTGACCCCCGAGGATTACGCCACTGAGGACCCCATGTCTGTACCACCACCCCAAGGTAGGTGGGGAGGGAGGCAAGCAGGTCACTTCTCATTAGTTCCTATATCTGTGTGCCACACAAAGGCGGGGGATCGAGGGCCACACTGTGTGTCACTATAAGTCGACAGAGATCCATCGGAATGCTCATAAGGCAAGAATGTAGATCCCCAGTAACCTAAGTTTGTAGTAAGTTGTAACTGGATCTGGTAGTCAGACTTGCTGACATAACCGATTGCATGTCATCGATCCCAGTGACATATGTTTTTCGTCAACGTGGGACTTTTACAACCTTTCAAACTGGCGAAGACCGAAGCTACTAAATTGTGCTGAAGATGAGAAAAATCCATTAATGATAGTCCTTGGCTTGAAACATTTGAAGGCTATTTGATATTTTAGGGTCCTGGCTAGCTATTGTTGAAAGTTTGTAGCCCTACGAACTTCTTAAGCCCATTCTTAACACATGGGCTACGATCGAGGTTAAGAATTCTTAGGGCTACAAATGTTTCGAGAATAAGGGTCCTGATCCACAAAATGTTCGTAACATTACGACCTGTCGTAACTCTACAGTTTACCATAGACTTACGAATATTGTGGTACTACAAATGCTGAGGCTGTAGATCAGGACCCTGAACCAGTTCTCAGTTGTTCAGTTTGTTGACAAATAAAAACTGAGTAAAACTGATAGAAAGTCTGAACATAGTACACAGTTGTCTCCTTCCAGCAGGACCAGCTACAAACTCAAGTGAAATTGGAAGCTCACTGTTCATTAGGACAAGCTGTCATGACGACAAATTTAAAACTTTGTTCAACTAACATAAAGCTCTGACACTGTGATGCAACTGTAGAACTCAGTGACAGTTCTAAGTCTGATATGTGTAACTGATATAAAGTGAAAGTTGACTCACAACATTAGTGACTTTGTCTGATATGTGTTACACTGAATCATGCTCTTTGTTCAGTAATGCATCTCCTCTCTTCACCAGGTACTGATCATGTATGACTATTTCATTATGTTTCAGCTCCAAAGGTTCCGAGTTATGCACGTGAAACACTGACATCTCAGCAACACAGCCGGCGTAATGAGGGACGGCAGGATTCCCCCTTTCCTATGGGGGACCAGCTGGCAGTTAGTGAGGAGTTCCCTAGCTTCATCTCGGACGAAGATATGGAGACTAAGGGAAATGAGTATGAAAATGATCTGGTGAGTTACCTTCTTTGATGGGCATTATAGTCCAATATCGAAAATCGAATGAATCGAGGTCTAGGTGAATCGTTGCAGCCCTAGCTGAATGCCATCAGTTTGACCATAATGTTAAATATCTGAGAGCTACATCACGTTATGCTTTCCTCCCTAAATCGGGGCAGTGGGGTAGCCTATTTGTCAAAGCTTCGCTCGTCATGCCAAAGATTCGATTCGGATACAATGTGTGAAGCCCATTTCTGATGTCCCCTGCTGTGATATTACTGGAATATTGCTAAAAGCGCATAATCCTAAATTTACTCGCTCACTCCCACAATTATCATTTATGCAGGCTCATGTGTCTTCATTGTCTTCTGCTTCCCTTTGTCCCAGAACACATTCCCTAGAGTTGATGCCTGGAAACAGCACATGACAGAGGAACAGCGTGAGATGGAACGCCATGACCTCGCCAACCTCAATGCCAAGACAAACTACCTCCGCAACCAACGCTTCCTGTCAGGTTCGGCGCCCCCTGGTATCAGAACCCTCATCAAGCCACACAAGAAGAAACCCAAGGAGATTGGGGTGGAACTGAAACCAGAAGACTCAATGTATGTGCTGGTGACTTCAGATCTGCATGTAATAATTCCTGCTGTAGTGGTAATAAAACTTAAAGGAATATTCTACCAAAGTTACGCAAATACTAGATTCTGATTGCTCAGTTGAAAGTTTCAAATCACAATAACCACCTCAGAATAAATCTGCTGATTTGATCTCCTAATGTATTATTAGAAGAGAACCTCAAACAGTAGGCATTTACATATACAGTGGAAGCTGTCAAAACCGGCAGCTCTCCAATCCGGCAAGTTGTCAACATCGGCATAAAATCTCAGTCCCGTCCATGGCTAGTACATTTATCATCATTTAAAAGCTCTGCAATCCGGCAGTTGTCAATTCCGGATCTCGGCATAAAATGAGCCGCCCGAATATGTGTTTATACAGTAATCAGCACTGTCTAATCCGGCGCGTAGCATGGAGTAATCCTGTGTTGAAACTACATGGTTGCCGACAAAGATAATTTAATTTAATTTACTTGTACATATAATTAGTGAGTTGAGAGAGAAACTGAGAGAACCACGTTATACAACAATGTATATGAGAGTGATAAAACTCGTTTAGTTCTAGTCGTAGGTAACCGTGTCAGCTCTACAATCCGGCACGCTGTCAAAACCGGATTATTTTTTCAGTCCCGACATGTGCCGGTTTAGACAGCTTCCACTGTATAGAACAAACTTTATGGATTTCAACTTCAGGAATAATAGCTTGACAACGGTACAAGAATCTGTATCGAAATGTCGCACTCACGAATAAAAGAAGTTCTTATCCATAAAGTTTGTTCTATATTATGTAACTGCCTACCATTGTCAAGTAGGAATATTCCTGCTTGACAACGGTACAAGAATCTGTATCGAAACATCGCACTCGCGAATAAAAGAAGTTCTTATCCATAAAGTTTGTTCTCAAACACTCAAAGAAGGCATTTACATAAATACTCATCAAATGTTGTTAACGTTGTTCTGTTTCCGATGTAGTCCTCTGGAACCGACACCAATATTCCTGGCGTCCCCTCCAGAAGTTGTGTTCCGGGAGTATCAGGTGGAACAAGTCTATGAGGTGAGTAGTATCACTTGTCTGGGATGTGTTCAAGGAATATGAAGGTAAAAGTTTGACAAGGAGAATAGTTTCACCAGTCAGGGGAGGTGTTCACCATATCATGAATGCTTTCAGAAAAATTGGTTGGTTGGTTGTACAGTATTGTATTTGTTTGTTGTTTCACATCACACTCAGCGATATTCCAGCTATATGGCGGCGGTCTGTAAATAATCAAGTCTGGACCAGACAATCCAGTGATCAACAGCATGAGCATTGACTCTACGTAATTGGGATTCGATGACATGTGTCAATCAAATCAGCGAGCCTGACAACCCAATCCTGTTAGTCGCTTCTTAATTGTAAACCAAAAGTCACTGTGTTCTTTAATCTGATTGGTTGAAAAACGTGATCAAATGGTATTCCATTCCCGGAAATTCGCTGCGTATTGATACATACAAACATCGCTCACACCATTGTATTGTTACGTCGTCAGCTGTGATGACGTCATTAAAATCATATTGTGACGTAAAGTCCGAATGACGTCACAAATGAGCAGGTCCAGATGCTACCATGGGAGACAGCCGAAACGGCCGGCTGATGACATTTCACTGCTGTATCCCTACTTGATGTCTATCAGTGCAGACACAAAAACGTGTGTGGACCTTTTGGTTAACTTTTGTGTTTACAATGTCGAATCATGTGTTGGCCAATTTCCGGGTGTTATTGAGTATTTGAAGCATGGGAATATTTCATTTGAAACCTCCGGCTGCCGCTGTCGGTTCCAAATGAATTCCCATGCTTCAAATACTCAATAACACCCGGAAATTGGTCAACACATGATGTTTATCTCCTAAGACAAGCATTGGTTGCAGAAGACCAATTCTAACCCAGTTCTACACGGGTCTTTTTTCAGAAAGAAACATGGTACCAACATATAACAATCAGCAACTTACACTTGTCTTGTGCTGGTATTAAGATTCAGAGATTTTCACTTGTTTTGCTTAGGTCAACCATCAAATCATATGTATGTATAATTTCATGTTTTCACTAGATTGTGTTGGAGCTGAAGAACATCTCAACAGTGATCCGCCAGTGCCGAGCCTTGCCTCCTTCAACACCCTACTTCACTGTAGGACTAGGTGGGTAGAACTTTTTGCTTCGGTCTGTTGGACAATGTGGGGAGAACAGCATTTTGGAGCCTGTAGGAGTTAGCTTAATCTCTGTAGGACTAGGTTGGCAGAACTGTAAGTTTGAGCCATTGGGACTAAAAGTGGGCAGGACTGTGGCTTTGGGCTTTGTAGAACTAAAAGCGGGAAGGACTGTAAGTTGGGCTTGCATGTCCAGGTAGGTAGGACTGTAGGTTTGGTCTTGCAGGTCGAGGTGGGTAGGACTGTAGGTTTGGGCTTGTAGGTCCAGGTTGGTAGGACTGTAGGTTTGGGCTTGTAGGTCCAGGTGGGTAGGACTGTAGGTTTGGGCTTGTAGGTCCAGGTTGGTAGGACTGTAGGTTTGGGCTTGTAGGTCCAGGTAGGTAGGACTGTAGGTTTGGGCTTGTAGCTCCAGGTGGGTAGGACGGTTGATTTGGGCTTGTAGGTCTAGATAGGTAGGACTGTAGATTTGGGCTTGTAGGTCCAGGTGGGTAGGACTGTAGGTTTGGGCTTGTAGGTCCAGGTTGGTAGGACTGTAGGTTTAGGCTTGTAGGTCCAGGTAGGTAGGACTGTAGGCTTGTAGGTCCAAGTGGGATTTTAGGTTTGGGCTTGTAGGTCCAGGTAGGTAGGACTGTAGGTTTGGGCTTGTAGGTCCAGGTAGGTAGGACTGTAGGTTTGGGCTTGTAGGTCCAGGTGGGTAGGACTGTAGGTTTGGGCTTGTAGGTCCAGGTAGGTAGGACTGTAGGTTTGGGCTTGCAGGTCCAGGTGGGTAGGACTGTAGGTTTGGGGTAGGTCCAGGTAGGTAGGACTGTAGGTTTGGGCTTGTAGGTCCAGGTGGGTAGGACTGTAGGTTTGGGCTTGTAGGTCCAGGTAGGTAGGACTGTAGGTTTGGGCTTGCAGGTCCAGGTAGGTAGGACTGTAGGTTTGGGCTTGTAGGTCCAGGTAGGTAGGACTGTAGGTTTGGGGTAGGTCCAGGTGTAGGGTCCAGGGTGGGTAGGACTGTAGGTTTGGGCTTGTAGGTCCAGGTAGGTAGGACTGTAGGTTTGGGCTTGCAGGTCCAGGTAGGTAGGACTGTAGGTTTGGGCTTGTAGGTCCAGGTTGGTAGGACTGTAGGTTTGGGCTTGTAGGTCCAGGTGGGTAGGACTGTAGGTTTGGGCTTGTAGGTCCAGGTAGGTAGGACTGTAGGTTTGGGCTTGTAGGTCCAGGTAGGTAGGACTGTAGGTTTGGGCTTGTAGGTCCAGGTTGGTAGGACTGTAGGTTTGGGCTTGTAGGTCCAGTAGGTAGGGTAGGGACTGTAGGTTTTGGGCTTGTAGGTCCAGGTGGGACTTTAGGTTTGGGCTTGTAGGTCCAGGTAGGTAGGACTGTAGGTTTGGGCTTGTAGGTCCAGGTTGGTAGGACTGTAGGTTTGGGCTTGCAGGTCCAGGTAGGTAGGTAGGTAGGACTGTAGGTTTGGGCTTGTAGGTCCAGGTTAGGTAGGATTTTAGGTTTGGGCTTGTAGGTCCAGGTAGGTAGGACTGTAGGTTTGGGCTTGTAGGTCCAGGTAGGTAGGACTGTAGGTTTGGGCTTGTAGGTCCAGGTGGGTAGGACTTAAGGTTTGGGCTTGTAGGTCTAGGTAGGTAGGACTTAAGGTTTTGGCTTGTAGGTCTAGGTAGGTAGGACTGTAGGTTTGGGACTGCAGGTCCAGGTAGGTAGGACTGTAGGTTTGGGCTTGTAGGTCCAGGTAGGTAGGACTGTAGGTTTGGGCTTGTAGGTCCAGGTAGGTAGGACTGCAGATTTGGGACTGCAGGACTAAGAAGGTAGGACAGTAGGTTTCTGCAGGACTTGGGTAAGACTGTATGTTTAGGACTGTTGGACAAAACCTTTTTAATAGGGTAGGTATGTATTTCATCTATCACTGCTGGCTCTTTCTGTGCAGGTCAGTTCCCAGGGGAACATGGCCTGGTTGCCGCAGGGATGAGCTGCAAGTACCCAATCCGTTTCATCCCTGACTCTCTGAAGGACTTTGATGATGAGATTGTGATCCAGACCCAGTCAGCCATCCCCCTCGTCATCCCACTGCGTGGACGAAGAGACCCGCCCATTCTCACACGTGAGTCATCATCACTCTTATTGGGATAAATGTATGAGTAAAGAATCGTTTTTGGATATCAACAGATCTACATGTAGTGGATTAGTTTAAAACTCCAAGGTATGTTTGTTTGTTCTTTAATGCCACACCCAGCAGTATTCCAGCTATATGGCGGCCATCTTTGAATAATCATGTCTTGACTACACAGTCAAATGATTAACAGCATGAGCATCGATCTGTGTAATTGGGATACAATAAAACCCCAAAGAATGTCCTTCCTGTATGTGTACCACCAAGTCAAACATATCTATCTGTCCACCACAGTTCCTCCAATACTGGACACCGGTCACTGTCTGGTGGGTGGCTATCACGTCGCCCAGTTCTTCATCAAGAATGAAGGCGGCACTGGCCGGTTCTGCATCATGCCAAGGACGGCATGGCCCGCTATTAACTTTAAGGTAAGACAATGATAATTTTGAACGAGCTGAAATAATAATGTGTATAACTGTATCTCTGACAATTTATTTTATCTGTCAGTTCGCTATAAGCATTTTTGTTGTAAATATAGTTTATTGTATGACAGTTATTTTACTGACAGTCAGTGGTATCCGAAGGCAAGGTTGTGATGCCTCCATTTGACATGCGACCCTCAACGTTTGAGCTGAGGAGGGGCCAGTCCGGGATAGTGGAGGTGATCTTCAACCCCCACGCTGCCAAGGTGTTTAACCAGGAGATTACAATCGCCTGTGACAACTGCCAAGTACAGCACTTCTTGCTGAGAGGTAATTCTGGGACACTATCAGTTATTGTTTGACTTCCTTGTTATTTCATCGGGTTAGAATTGATCTACAGTAATCCATGCTTGTTGTAAGAGTCGACTAACAGGATCGGGTTGTCAGGCTCACTGATTTGGTTGACACATGTCATCGATTCCCAATTGCGCAGATCGATGCTCATGATCACTGGATTGTCTGGTCCAGACTCGATTATTTACAGACCGCCGCCATATAGCTGGAATATTGCTGAGTGCGGTGTAAAACTAAAGTCACTCACTCCTTGTTATTTATGAATAACCAAATGTCAAAGTTTAATGTAGCGTCAGTACATACTTTGATGGGGTGGTGGAGTAGCCTAGTGGTTAAAACATTCGCTTGTCAGGCTGAAAACCCAGGTTCGATTCCCCACACGGGTACAATGTGTGAAGCCCATTTCTGGTGTCCCCCATCGCGATATTGCTGGAACATTGCTAAAAGCAGCATAAAACCATACTCAGTCATTCACTCTTTGGAGGTAAGTCTGTCACTCACATATCATCTCTACTACAGGTGAAGGTCAGACAGCACAGGTCGCCCTGGAGCAGGTGGAAAGAGGAGAGTCAGAGGCCCTGCCAGGTGAACTGACCGACTTCTCCGCACAGCACCGCATAGTGTTTGATGACCTGAACCCATACACCTACACTGACCGTGTCATCACTGTGCAGAACCTGACGTAAGTGTACACTCTGTTCAAGGGCTGTTCCCTCGGTCGTCTAAGGCACCACAAACTACCGTGCAATGATCAGGTGTTTGAATCCTGTTTAGCACCAATTATATTTTTAGGTTTGTCAGCACCATGCTTCTTCTGGGTTTCACCAAAGTGGTAAATCTCATAGACCTGCGTAGGTTTTGTGCTCTTTCAACAGTAAACTGACCCACCATTATATACTGAGAGCAACAAGTAAGGGAACACAGGAAAATTCAAGCATTCCTTTAATATTTTCAATTTTTCATCACCAGCTTTGAATAGTGCTGTTGGAGGAAATCTGAGAATAAATAAAGAAACATCCTTGAAGTGGTGTTCCCTTATTTGTTTCCCTCAGTATATATCTAGAATACTGTTTATGTGAGCATTAAACCCAACTCCCTCATGTGCTATTGTCTCTGTTCGGGGTATAGTGAAATACGCTGCAATTTACTGTGCAATGTTATGGCTTTTAGTCCTCCATTGATCAGCTGGCCGTCAGTTTCAAATCAGAGTTTAAGTGTTTTTAGGCAACACAATGAGCTACATGATAAGAAATAAAACAATAATTAATACAAATATATTTTTTCAGGAATGTTGACCTTCCCTTCCAATGGCTGACCTACAAACCACACCTAAATCCACCGGATAACGAGTCTGTTGATGCAGAAAATGCAGAACCTCGAGATCGCATTCCTGACCTTGACACTGCTTTCAGTGTCAGCCCCAACAATGGAATGGTTCCTGCTAGTGAGAAGATGGAGTTCAAGGTCACATTTGCTCCTCCTTTGGTATGTATTGACAACCTTGTCCAACTGTCAAAGTAATAAATACAGCATCGAACCAGCTGCTTCATGTTTGGTATCAGACAATTTCGTAGTAATTCACACACACCCCTTTGGGGCGGTGAGATAGCCTAATGGTTAAAGCATCCGCTCGTCGCGCTGAAGACCAGTGTGAAGCCCAGTTTTGGAGTCTCCCGCCATCATATTACTGGACTATTACTAAAAGTGACGTAAAACCATACTGACGCACTCTCACATCCCCCTCAGATCAAGACTATAATCAAGCAAGCATCCTGGATCCAGTTCAGCAAAACATTTTTAACTCCCACTCTTGAACATAACATACAGTCATCACAGTGCTTAGACTGTTTTGTGAACATGGCCCTGCAACCTCCATTGGTTTGTGAAAAGTCAGGGGTTCAAAAATCCCATCGCCCGACGCCCGGGACAAGTCAGTTTTCATTTCGGGCAATCAAATAATGGTATCTTACTTGTCCGTGGGCTACTAGATAATTTCCACTTATGGTTTCAAACTGCAAATAAACTTAGATTTAATTTCATATCTGCTCAAAATGTAGCTATTAAATTTCGCAATGATAATGAAGTAGAGTTTTCTTTCTTTGCTATTTATCACTTTTCAATAAATAGTCCAGTAAACATTAACATCAAATACCATGTTGATTTCTTCTTTCATAATTACATCATCATGATTATTTCATAAAATCAGGGCAAGTGGAAAATTAGTCAGGACAAGTTACTTTCTTAATGCAAGTGACTTTTTAAGAAAATTTTGAACCCCTGAAAGTAGGAAATAGCAACTCATTCCAAGGTTAATATGTAAAACGAACGTCCGAGCGGAGCTACTTGGGCTGATCTCTTGTAATGTTGTCTGCGGGCTCGCTAACAGGGTTAACCTCTTTGATCATGTGGACAAGACGTACGACTTCGTGTCAGAAGGTGTGGTTCGAATCCCTGGATGGGACTGGGACATTTTATGGCTGCTACACAACCTCTGATGTCGTCACAGCTCTCTATTGTTAGACCCTATCATCCAAACATGTGTAATCAGAAATATTATGTACACTTGATTTTTGTAAAGCGACAACTCAAGAAACTGAGCCAGACATTTTACCCTCGCCGTTACTTATACTCAGCCACAAAGTGAAATTTTAACACTGTGTGTACTGGGAATAGACAATGATAGATACATGTAAATGTGTCAGTCTTATAATCAGTTGACATTACTGACATATGTCATCGGCATCTTTCCATAACGGACCGCCTCCGTGGTGTAGTGGTTAGAGCGTCCGCCCAGAGAGCGGAAGGTCGCGGGTTCGATCCCCGACCGCGTCATACCAAAGGACGTTTAAATATGGTACTTGTTGGTCCCTGCCTGGCGCTCAACATTAATGGGTACAAGAAGGACTGGTTGGCTCGAAGTCAGTATAATGTGTCTGAGTGGGGTATTCATGCTTCACTGTGGCATGGTATCTCAGTGGGCTAGCACTATAAAACCAGCTTCAGTCTGGGCTAGTACAAGCAGCCGCACATACATACACACGCATGCACGTCGTCATATGAGCGAAATATTCTCAAGCACGACGTTTAACCCAATTTCACCTCACCTCACCTTTCCATAACGACCTGGTCAAACTATCAGTTGGACACTTATATCAGGATTCATGGTTAGAACTTGTTCCCTATGCTGACCAGAACTCACACAAATACACTACATAGTTAGTTTGGTTGTGATAGTGTCTAATATTTCCACATCATTAATGGAGTTACTGTTGGTTCCAGTTGAACTCCTTCCACAGTATCCTCCACATGGTGCTTCAACAAGTTCCACGCACAAGCCAGAGCATGAGGGCCATAGTTGGAAGGTCAAGTGCAAGGTCAGTTACAGCCATTTCACAGAAGAGGTCAGTGTCAAGCAATGAGAGCTCGGTACACATGAAAGGGTCAAGGTCAGCGTCATCTGACAGGTCATCTGAATCCTCTGGAGACGAAGATGGAGAAGTCATCATTCCCATAGATGGTGAGTTGACCTTTAATGATGCATCACTGCTAAGTTAAAAGAGAAATTTGATGTAAACTACAGCCAATTTTGACCAATTTCTGCATATTTTTCTCAAAATTTGACATTTAGGATTTTCTTTGTTCATTTCCATCAGTGTTATTCTATAAGTGGTTCTTAATAATTGTGCTAAGTTTTTATATTACAATAGATAAATCTTGGAGACACATTTCTGTGCTTCATGCAGGAATCTGTTGCCATGGAGAGGTGGTCACATGATTAAGTGACCCTCTCTAAGGTAGTAGACCTGTCTCACATTCACGTTTTTGATCATGTGTTGATACAAGCAATATTTATACTCACACTTCCCAGTGAGTATCTGTCAATAACCCTACAGTTTGGGTTATGGTGGATCAGAGGTGAACCTAGTCAAATTTCGAGGGCTCAAATGATGGCTTACAACTTGTTATTATTTTGTGTTTTTAGGTCCCATCTACTGTGACACTGTTGGCCTGGAGATTGAGGTGAAGGGGAAGAGTGTCCCCCTCAATGTTGTCCTCCACCCCTACGCCATCTTCCTGCCAGGGAAGAACCCCATCGGCACCACCATCAAGAAACTCTTCACTGTATGTTAAATACTATCTCCCTAGCAACTAACAATATGTGTAGAAACAGTTCTTGGGATTTCCACTTCCCATTAGTTTATGTCAATTTAATCATGTCATTGTTTTTTCTTAATTTGGTTCTATTGTTTTACTTATTGAAATATAATTAAAATGTTAAAAAGATTTTTTCCAGCATCTTTTCTGTTGGTTTTTATTGCATTTTCTAAATTGGTGAAAAACTCGCCAATCACGTTCATATTTGAAGGTATCCTTTGGGTAAAGAAACATGTCTGACTTTGTGTTCTGCAAATGCTGAAGAATTCTCAAGGCCTGGTCATAACAGGGTGAAAATATATATCAGATCAAGTCAGAATAATTTGCAGAGCATGAAGTTATAATCCGTTGTTTCTGATGAGTGCATTTTGTCACCAGTCTAAGTAAACTTAGACTCAGTATTATTTGTTACACTGCTTTACTGAGTCTAACAAAACCTTGTGGAAGGTCGCGTCAGGTAACCTTTTCAATTGACCAATCAGAACACAGCTTACCAAATCGCGAAAGTTGACATTCGCACATACCTTTTGAACTTTTACCTCGAAAAGGTTTTGTACCCGAACGATTCCGAATGCTATTTTCCGTACGATCGCTTCCGAGTGATGCACATGGAGCACGCCACAACCGTCAGTAAACAGTCGCTGAAAATAGCGTTTTGTCAGTATTCAAGGATGTCAGCTTGGGGAAATATTAGCTAATGATGACCATATCAACAGAAACCCAAAAGCTTATATTCTGCAGGTCGTATATCTGTCTTTTATGCGGGTTTTCATTTGTTGTGAGATCAGTGTTAGCGACCGGGGAAGATTAAATCCATTTTGTAAGTCCCGCCGAACCCTAAATAGTAGCCGCTGTCTGATTGGTTAAATCGGTTCTGTCGTGTCGCGTTTGATTGGACAGTCATAGGTCGCTCAAAGGATACCTGACGCGACCTTCCTCAAGGTTTTGTTAGACTCTGTATAGCAGTGTAACTAATAATCATTAGGCTAAGTTTACTTAGACTTATTTTGTCACGTACTGACTTCATGGGTTTTATTTTCAGATGGCCAACCATAGTTTCTCCACCATCACCTTCCAGTGGCAGCCTCACAGCGACAAGCACATCATCGAGGTGGAGCCTCCTTTTGGAGAACTAGGTAATAGGTCAGTTGATGTCCTGTCAGACAGGTAGAACTACATAACATGCATTCAATGTCAGGGGGGCTGAAACATCACTTTCACCATGGGTTTGAGGACTGTATTATGTCGGGTGTCATGAACATTTACCAAGTCTAGGTATATACTTTGTTTTGGTTTTGATTAATGAATGTTTATGACTTCATTCAATCCGTTATTTTTTGTAGAGGGAAAGCCAAGTGACCATTTCGTATGGGGGATTTGAGGGAATATGTATATCTGTCACTCTGGTTTCCCCATGCAGACCCTAGATGTATCCCCCTTCACTGATCCCTGTTTTTTTACTGACCCCCATCCTTCACTGACCCCCTTGTTATCCCAGACCCTGGTATATGATACTATATCTATGTGTCCCCCCCATCACTGACTCCCATCCTTTACTGACTCCCCTTGTTTCCCCAGACCCTGGTATGTTCATGTGTCCCCCATCACTGACCCCCATCCTTCACTGACTCCCCTTGTTTCCCCAGACCCTGGTATGTTCATGTGTCCCCATCACTGACCCCATCCTTCACTGACCCCTTGTTTCCCCAGACCCTGGTATGTTCATGTGTCCCCATCACTGACCCCCATCCCTCACTGACCCCTTGTTTCCCCAGACCCTGGAATGTTCATGTGTCCCCATCACTGACCCCCATCCTTCACTGACCCCCTTGTTATCCCAGACCTTGGTATGTTCATGTGTCCCCATCACTGACCCCCATCCTTCACTGACTCCCTTGTTTCCCCAGACCCTGGAATGTTCATGTGTCCCCATCACTGACCCCCATCCTTCACTGACCCCTTGTTATCCCAGACCTAGGTATATGATACTCATCTGTGTCCCCCCATCACTGACCCCCATCCTTCACTGACTCCCTTGTTTCCCTAGACCCTGGTATGTTCATGTGTCCCCCATCACTGACCCCCATCCTTCACTGACTCCCTTATTTCCCCAGACCCTGGTATGGCGATGGACCTGGAGCTGAGTCTGACTGGTGTGGAACCGGGGAAGATCAGCACCACACTGTACTGCTTGGTCCTAAACATGGACGACCCCCTGGCTCTCCACATAGAGGCTGACATGAAGGTACAACCAGGCTCTGGTCTAAAACTGTAGACTATACATCAACTGTCAACCGATCCATTAGTCTCCTTTTACGACAAGCATGGGTTGCAGAATCAGGGGTGAAAATAACTTTCAAATTGCTAGTGTACTCCGGTACAGTGGCACATGTAAAATCACTTGCCCTGATAATTTTTCCTCTATACCGGCCGATTTTCTTGTTGATTGTTTAAATAAACAACATAATTAACATTGGAAAGTCAACTGGACATTGGTACAGCGTGATATACAAATTTGCTTGCCCGACTGGAAAAAACACTGGACTCGGGCGTCGGGCAATGGGTTATTTCCACCCCTGAGAAGATCAATTCTAATCCAGATCTTCACGTTTGTTTTCCCACTGAGCAACCAGGTCCGCTGATGAAAGGGTGTTCAGTCCTACATGTCATGACTTGCATGCTGTCACATGGCCGTGATCTTGGCAGCTGTCGTCAGATTTGTTTCATACCGCAACAACGATATTATTTTACTGTAAACAGCAGCTTGGCATCTTAATGTACTACCACCATAAAACTGGCATCACGTCATACTGTACAAGCGCCACCACATGCTCACACACATGCAAGCACATTGCTTAGTCAGTTCATAATCATGAGCTCAATGTTAAACCATTTTGCCTCGCAATGCAGGGTCCAGAGATCACGGTGGAGGAACCTGACGTCAACTTCGGCCTGGTGCGACTCGGCCAGACGGTACAGCAGACAGTGACCCTGTACAACCAGTCCCAGCTGATCACAAAGTGGCACATACAGGATTCACCGCTTCCACTGTCTGATGACCCGATGGTACGTCCATAGAAATTACACGTGTGTCAGTCAGATACCATTGTTTCAGAAGGTATCTAAAGACTGAAAGCAAGTTACAGCCAGAAGGTATCTAAAGAGTGACAGCAAGTTACAGCAAGATGCAAGATTGGTGGTATTAGGCGTATGAAGTATTGTGTTTCTTACGCACCCTAACATGGCACCATTATAGAATTAAAAAAATGCATATTTTGTCAACTGTCATGACTGCAGTGCCACATAAAGTCATAACACAGCATCATGTGACAGCATCATGTGACATCCTCTGGCCAACTGCTTACTAGTGTTGGGAATTGGTGTAAATCTCATAATTGATGATTGGTTCATTACAACCGATCAATCATCGAAAATAAGTGGTTAGCGTCATTTATCAAATTTTCCTGGTTATGTTTGTTAATGCACAAAAATATAAAGAAAAAACATGTAGTTCTCTCGGTTTTTTTCGCACATTGCACAAAATGTATTTGCAAATTTCACATCTTTAAGGGATGACTAGGGTGTTAGGAACATACATTTCCTGGAGTTGTTAAGATAAACTTAATCATGACTTGGAAAGAGCTTGTAGTGCTTATGCAATGTCGAGACAAAATCAACCTTTTGAAAAATATTGTTCCGCTCGACTCACAATTAAAACAAGTGGTCCAAAATTGTTTGTGTTCGATTATGAGAAAACATGATCGATTGCTTGGTCGTTTTGTCATTGCGACCAATCTTTGATTATTTTAATTAATCGGACCACCACTACTGCTTACTACCCATGCCTAGTGTAACCCTCGACAATAAAGTTTCCTCTATATCTGTGGATTCTCAAGACAATGATGTTAATGCAAGACAAACGAACATTTATTAACACTCTAAAACTGACCTATATGTGTAATTTTATAAGCACAAACATCATGATTTATCTGTGTGTAAGACAATTCTTTTTTAAGGCAGTAGATGAGTAAAGGTGTTTTATGGGCTGTGAGGAAAATCAAACGATTACTTTTTGAAGGCTTCATTGTAGAACCTCTGGTGTCTGCTACAAAGGGAAGTTTTTCATGACAATTTGTTTCCTGATTATCCAGGCTCCCAGTGAGTTCACATTCAGTCCAGAGTCTGGTGAACTTCGACCTCTGGAGAGGAAGGTCATCACTGTGACCTTCACCCCAAAATCAGCGCAGACTGTCAAGAGGGTGTTGGAGATAGACATCGAGGATGGAAACAAAAGGTAGAGTTGCCTCTGTGTGTAAAACTGACCTATAGTATTCCACTGAGCAAATGCTGATTCTGCATCATTATTGACTTAAGACTTAATCGATCTCAACCTTTTGTAACTTTTTATGTTGTTGTCTTATATAAGAATTGACTTCAAGATTTTTGTGTTTGAGAACGGACTTTATATACATGAGGAGAGGTGAAATGGGATTAACGTTGTACTTGAGAATATTTCGCTCATATGACGATGTACCTGTTCTGCTTGTGACAGCTCTATCGCAGCGTATGCAGAAGTTCAGAGTCCATCAGTGTGCCTGAAGGAGAGCTGCTTGGTCCTGCCCGAGGTGTACCTGGGGGTGCCGTGTAGGTCAGAGGTCGTGCTGATCAACCAGGGTCTCATACCGACCCGCTTCCACATCGGACAGGTGGGTCATCATCCTCACTTTCCATGCTTCATTTTCTTCCCATTCCTTTCTGTCTCTCTTTGTTTCTTCTGCAATCTCTCTTTTCTTACAAAACAATAGAAGGAAAGCATTGATATATGTCTTCATATTACTGTAATTTGAATGTGGAAGGTAGAAGTGTGGTTATTTGATTGTGATGGAAGTGGATGACATGTTGTTTGGTTTGATTAGATAGTGATTTTATGTTATCATGCTGCTTTGAAAGATATAAGATTTTTATGTATATCATCTGGGTATATGTATGATGTCATAAAAGAATAACCATCTGTTTCTCTTCGATTTTTCCTCTTTTTTTCCCTTCTCTTTCTCTCTTTCCTCGTACTTTTTATATTATTCTCATGTCTTTTGATATTTACATGTGAAGATCCGATTTATGCTTCCCGTAAGAGACAACTTATGGGATCAGGCCCGGATTTCTCGAAACAAACTTAAGTCTGAATTATTACTCAAATTTGAGAACATGCATTTGCCAGAATGAAATGAAATCGACATTGAACTCAAACTTAGTAGACAATTTGAGTTTGGTGGATAGATTACTTAAGTTGTTTGGGTTTTTTTTATTTTTGATATGCAGTTGAGTTAAAAATTCAGCTGTCTCAAATTGTCAAACTCAGTTTGAAATTTGAGTAAAAACTTAAGTTTGTTTCGAGAAATCGGGGCCAGGTGGACAGGCTTGTTGACTTTGTTGACACATCATTGTCACATGTCATCATATCCCAAGTGCGTAGATCAATGCTCATGCTATTGACCACTGGATTGTCTGGTCCAGACTCTACTATTTACAGACCACCACCACATAGCTGGAATATTGCTGAGAGTGGTGTTAAACAACAAACATACTTTTGATATCAAATATATCAACATGAGTCGATGAATGTGTAATCCTTCCAGGCTTTCCCACTTAATGCCAGTCCTAAATTACCATGATACCCAAATTAAAATAAACTTTTTATCTATCACCTGAAAAATTATGTCATGAAAGCAAGCCAGGTACCAATCAATACATGTGAGTTGATATCCTATGTGAGTTGCTATGTGGTATGCGATGTCTTCAGGTTGAGGGGGAGGATGTGGAGGAGTGCAGTGTGGAAATGGACAAGACAGCAGCGCTCATCAAACCACGTGAAGAGTGTGTCATCAACCTTGACTTTGTCGCCATGAGAGAGGTACCAGTTCCATGCTCATATACTAAAATCTAACAACATTAAGTGATATTATATAAACTAAAAATCGCATAACATTTGCATGACAATTGTTAACCATTTTTGTCTTATTTCTACAAAACCTGATTTAAAAGGGTGGCTAAATAGGTAGTGTGTTTGCTGATCTTGGATAACTCCTGGGTTCAATTCTGGGTTCAAATGCATTTTTGCTCATTACTGAAGAAAGGGACTCTAATATAGAACCAGCACCTCACTGTCTGTATTTTTTGTTCTGTCTAGAAATGAATTTTTGCACCTCAGTAGCACTGATATCTTTTATCAACAGGGTGTGTTTTCCGACGTGCGTTTCCCGGTGTATGTCGACGGCATGGAGGTGCCGCAGGTGTTCAGTGTGTCCTGCGACGTCAGGGGAATGTCTGTTCAGTTATCTACATCAGAGGATGGGGAGATCAAGAGGTACGTATCATTTTTGGACATAAACATTATGTGTTGAGCATGAGAGGAGAACTGTTTATACTTTGTACTGGATACATATATCTGTGTCATGTAAAACCACGTCTGATGTACAAACTACTGATAAATGAACTGTCACAAAAGCTGTGTAAGATCAATATCTTGCTATGTTTGTTCATGATTCTATTTGTTCAGATCCGATGTGATTAACTGTATCAGCTGGTTAGACCAGGGTATGAAACTCACCAACATTTCAGCCAGACCACAGGGCTGGTTAGATGTAAAACTTGCCAGCCCTGACCAAAACTTACCACCTTCCCCAGAATTAGACCGGCTCTCTACGAAGCAGACGTTTAGTTGAGAGATGTAGATAAAGGCAACAGATACACGTTACAACAAACAGCGTATTAGGAAGATATTAAATGACTGTAGCCAATCAAATTGGAACCTGACACTCAGGTTTTAAGTCAGCATTGTCTTATTTTTCAGTGATCAACTGATCTTGCACTTTGGTCAAGCTGTGGAGTTGGGTAGTTCCCCTCAGCGTTATCTCTTCATCGAGAACAAGACTGCCATTAATGCTCCCTACACTGTCAATGTGGACTTCCTGTTTGCCAGGCCACCTACACCACCTGAGAAACAAGGGGAGAAAACTAACATAAGGTGGGTCACATAGGAGTTTTGTTCTAAATGTTATGAACAGTTTTTGTACATATAAGGGGGAGACAACTCCGAAAACATTGAAGATTTGGTGTAAATTAGCTTTGATAAAGTAAGTAACAGACACTTTGTTTCAGCAGAAGTTAGCTAAATGTGGCAAATATTTAATTTAACACCTGAACCTGAAAAGTGTTTTCATTCAAATTACAGGATCTCAGTAACAGCATAAAAATACTCCAATATTTTTTAAAATATAATTCATTGTTGTTTCGTTTTAGTCGTAGAACTCTGTTGGGTCGCACACCAAACTTGGCAGACCCTTTCAGTAAGACTTCAGAGAAAGCTGAAGCAGGTAATTTTCTACCGATCATCTCAATAACTCACACCTTTAAATCAAACCTGTTTTTTTCTGATATTGATATCTAGCCTTTGATCAAAACTTAAAATATCAAATCTTGCTGTCCATTATGATTGACTCCATAAACAAACTCTCTCTTGCCCTCCTTTGCTCTGCCTTGTTCATCTAATAATAGCTATGAATGTCCGTCTTCAATTATATCCTGTATTTTGGCTGCCATCACACGACAAAATCTAAAAATTTAAACAGAAGTCCTGTTCACTGTCAGCTATTTATAATCAGTTGTACAACAAACAGTAGCCTGCTGCCGACAGACTATTGTACATTAAGGGCACATTTCTTCCTTCTTACTTTCTTGTGTGTGCCAGCAAGAACATCTTTATTACTATATTTGCAATGAAGTAATAGAGGCAGTATGTCATGGAATTATTAATAATGATAAGTATTGTTTGAGTGGACACAGAGTATATTGATTAATGATAACCTATGTGTTTGTTCCTGTTATTTTATTATTATTTTTGCAATGAAGTAATAGAGGCAGTATTTCCTGGAATTAATAATAATGATAAGTATTGTTTGAGTGGACACAGAGTATATTGATTAATGATAGCCTATGTGTTTGTTCCTGTTATTCAGACTTGAAACGAGCCATGTTGTCCCAAGGCAATGGTGCTGCCTTTGCAGTTACCCCAGCAACAGGCATCCTGCGGCCTTTGGGACGCAGAGGCTGGACATCACAGCCTATAGCGACATGTGGGGCAGCTACACGGACAAGCTGGTGGTCAAGGTTGGTGTGGGGATGAGAGGAAGTGAATGTTAATTTTCATGTTTGTTTAGGTTTGGTCGGACCCACGGTGGATTCCATGTTAACTTGGTCTCAGCAAAATGTCCTTGACTTGGTGACTGTTTGACAGTGGTGTGTCCTTTCACCCTGATGGCATGGATTTGTTGTTCATGATATCAATCACTGGATTTTCTTATCCAGATTTGATTACCACATATGACGACTGCCTCTGTGGTGGTTAGAGAGTCCACCCGGAAGGTCGCTAGTTCGATCCCCGCATCATACCAAAAGGTCATGGAAGGTCATGGTTTCGATCCCTGGCCACATCATACCAAAAAACATAGTACTTGTTGGTCCCTGCCTGGCGCTCGGCCTTAATGGGTACAACAAGGACTGTTTGGCTCGGAGTCAGTATAATGTGTCTGAGTGGGGTATTCATGCTTCACTGCATGGTATCTCAGTGATCTAGCACTCTAAAACCAGCTTCAGTCTGGGCTAGTACACACAGCCGCACATACACATACACAAGCATGCACGTCGTCATATGAGCGAAATATTCTCAAGCACGACGTTAAACCCAATTTCACCTCACCTCACCACATATGACCGCAGAGAAGCCAAATTTCTAAGACCAACAAGCATTCTGTGGAAAGGAGTCAGTCAATCTGAAGGTTACACTTTCATCGAACTGTTTTTTTCTGGTGGTAAGAAAATGACATCTATGATGTATTTGAAACTTGCACCATGATATATTTGGAATAAAATAAATATAGCCAAGTAGTGTCTGTCTCAATAGATAAAGTTTCATGATGGATCGTCGCAATAATGACCTTGAACACTTTCCAGATTGGAGACATGGCGCCAACTGAGGTGCCTCTCGCTATGACAGTTGTGGGCTGTCCGCTCCAGTTTCAGATGACTGCAGCCAAGCCGGAACAGAACCCAGTGGTCAGGTATGGTCAGCAGTAACTTCTTTGAGTGACATTTTAGAGTGAGTGAGTATGGTTTTACGCCATTTTTAGCAATATTCCAGCAATATCACGGCGGGGGACACCAGAAATGGGCTTCACACATTGTACCCATGTGAATCGAACCGGGGGTCTGTGAATGGCGAGCAGCTTTAACCACTAGGCTACCCCACCGCCCTGACATTTTAGAAGTTCGTACAACATAGACACATGCACATTCAGCAGCGTTTCAGTACAATTCTGCGTTAATAATGTCTGGCCATCAGCTGTATCTGTTCGATTATGCACCCACATGGGTACAATTGTCAGCTGAGAAGCCCATTCAACATCTGTCGGTAGTGGTCCCCCGCTAGTGAGCCTTTCATGTTGCTGTAATACTTGTGCAATCAGCGGCGTTGTCTCAAGATGACCACAAAGCAAATGCTTCGGAAAACTAGAACCCCTTTCCCGCGCGATGCGCAAGCGTTTCTTATAGACAGAACTCGTATAAGCCCTCGTTGACAAACTCAATCTTGTAGTCAGTCAGTACCAACTCTGAATTTTACTTGTTGCATACCATCCATAACACAGCAGGGATTGCGTTGTAGCATAAAACATGTTGTTCCCCTATCTTAATACTCATGAATATAAATATTTCCAAGTGAACATTTTTGTAACAGTCTGATGATTCAATTCAATATACAGAGGAGTTCCTCTGACAAATGTTAAAATTAAATCTGTAATTTACTTGTTTTCAGAGGATGCATAGTGACCTTGTTATTCGACAGTCATATGTCCCTGTGTTCTATGTTCAGATTCGGGACGCATGTGTCGGGTGTGGCTGCTGTGAAGAGAGGAATGAGGATCAATAACAACAGTCCCCACGGTCAGTGTGGTTGTCATGACAGTAGCATTTGTAGAAACTTGAAAGCCATTTTGGAAGGCCAGATCTAGGTCATGGCCAAGTGGTTGGGTATGTCTTCCTGAGAGTGAGACATTTTTTAGTGTCCCATGTTGGATTTACAGTGTCCCATGTAAACTTGCATGTGTCCCACATTGACTTGACAGTGTCCCATGTAAACTTGCATGTGTCCCATATTGACTTGACAGTGTTCCATGTAAACTTGCAAGTGTCCCATATTGACTTGACAGTGTCCCATGTAAACTTGCAAGTGTCCCATACTGCCTTAACAGTGTCCCATGTAAACTTGCATGTGTCCCATATTGACTTGACAGTGTCCCATGTAAACTTGCAAGTGTCCCATATTGACTTGACATTGTCCCATGTAAACATGCAGATGTCCCATTATTGACTTGACAGTGTCCCATGTAAACTTGCAAGTGTCCCATGCTGCCTTGACAGTGTCCCATGTAAACTTGCAAGTGTCCCAAGCTGCCTTAACAGTGTCCTATGTTGGCTTGCATGTCTTCCATGTTGATTGACTCTTCGTTGTGACCATCAGATATCCGTGTTGACTGGCGAGTTTTCCTTGTGGACGCGCAGGATGACCAACTTCTTGACCTCAATGTGTGTTACGGTCGACCCTTCCCACCCCGTGATGAAGATGGAATGGAGATTCCACCGAGAGAAGATGGTGAGACGGATACATATATAAATATGCCCCTACATAGTTCTACCACAATTTGACTTGTTCTATATCAACAACATATGTGACACAATGCATAAAGATGGAAAATAAAGCTATCAGTAATGAGAGTCTGAAATCAATATTTGTCATTTCTGACCCATGGTAGTTCACATTATTTTTTGTGTCAAAACAAAGTGACTGAATATGTCTTTTGAGGTTTGTTAATAAAATATATTTAATAACGTTAATGTAGACAGAAGATGTCAAAATGCAAATAACAAATGCACAACACAATGCCGAGTGAGAACTGCAGCAGCAGCAGCAAAAGCTACACCACTGCTGAAATGAATCTTGTACATACATAGATTAATCAAAATATATCAATATATCAAGGGAATTCCTCTGTTTTGGGGAGACCTGTGAAGATCCGGGCTTAATTGGTCTTCAGGTTGTCAGGCTCGCTGACTTGGTTGACACATGTCATCGTATCCCAAATGCGTAGATCGATGCTGATGCTGTTGCTGTTGATCACTGGATTGTCTGGTCCAGACTCGATTATTTTTCCTTATCCTGACTCATGCTCTTTTGCTTGTCCCCTTCCTCTTGCGAACATAGTGGAACACTTGTATCTCCTTAATTGAAGCTCCCTTCAATGTAAAATCACTAATTGGTACTCACCCAAGAGTTGCCTCCCCTGCCGTAAGGCGGGAACAGGTGTCGCCACCCTCTGGCCTCATGCTTCTCTCTCCTTCTTAGCCCAGTGAGCAGGATGTGAGGCGCCTGTGTCTCCTTACACACTATATCCTTTGGTTTTCTTAGTTAGTTACCTCTTATAGTTTACTATAAAGGTATAGCTAGTATCCTTCATTAATTTGCATTGATAATTAATCATTATTTCTACTGTTTATTCCGCGTGAGTTAAGTGATTGTTCAGCTAGTATTACGTTGATGAAAAACTGTACTATTTGTAGATTACGTTTTCCGCTGCGGATCGCATGTAGTATGCCCTAGTTGTACTTCGCCTTGTGCGTTTGATTCGCGTTGCAGTTACTGCATTAATTTAACCAATTCTGCCTTTAATAAATACCATCTTTGCGTCTTGAGGCGTGTTGCAGATAGGTCGCGCAAACTAGGTGTAGACATGGCGATACGCCAGTTCCCATCCAGTCAGCTGCTGTCGGCGATCCCCTCCCGTCTGGTGTTCTGCTTGAGACCCCATCGGAAGAGGGGCGTGGGATGCAGTCCGTCACCTCTAAGAAGCGACCGGCCTCCCCAGACATCCCGTCATCGCAGATAAAGTCCAAGAGGGCCTCAGCGTCTTCTCAGCGCCAGACCGTACCCCAGGGCAGCGTCATCCTCCAAAGGGAAATCTGAAGTCATCGAGAACTTTCTCAGCGAGATCGTTCCAGCAGCAGAATTGGGCCTCTCGATGACCAGCCAATCATCATACCCGACATCGCCACAAGAAGCGACCAGTGACAGCGACAGTGACTTCAGCAGAGATCACCATGCAGCCTGATGCCTCTACACTGATGTCAGGCGAGATGGCTGAGGGCCCCACCGCTATCAGCGCAGAGGGCACCATCTACTACGTCGCCAGATCATCCCAGGCGATCTAATGAAGCAGATCATGATCATGATGGAAGGCCACTACAGACTGGAGAAGCAGCCATCCCAGGGTCGAGAGCCAGCGAAGGCTCCAGCGTGAACAGCACCCCAGAGGCACCCCAGTCAGCGTAGCAGCCACGGCGATGCGCCCAGCGAAGGAAGTCACAGACCACCTCGACGAAGGACCCAGATGTACAGCCTTAGCGAAGGCCGGAAGGCGGGAAAGATCATCACCCTAAGCCGGCGTCATACTCAGATCACGGAATCTGATCATCAGACCTCACGGAAGCCTTCGGCGAAGGTCATATCACCGTTCCCCAGGACGGGCGCAGAGAAGGAAGCGAAGGCGTTCGCGAAGGACACCTGAACCCAGATCGTCATCATCTAAAAGGACATCGAGGGACTACACAAGAGCCCAGCGAAGCTACCAGCGGTCCCCTCATAGGTAAGCCAAGAAGATCAACCTATCGATGTAGATCACCAAGGCGATCGCCTCGCCCGATCACTGCGCCGATCTCCGCGTACATCACCCGTCGATCACCTCACAGGTCTGCACATAAGCCTACAACTAGATCTCCACAAGCGTCAAGCGATATAGAGATAGAGCCACACAGTCCTACATCAGAAGAGCAACAACCTCTCATTTATGATGATGGAATGGAAGATGATGGAGGAATTATTTTCTCAGATGCAGAGATAAGATATTGGATGGTCAATAATCTAGATCTCTCATCACCTTCAAAGTGGCAATTCGGAGCAGACTTATCTGATGAAAGAAGGCGATGCAGATGCTATTACACTACCCCAATCGACCCGATTGCGGCGGTACCACAGAACCTAGATACAGCATTCAACAAAGCCCACGAAGGTTCAGACACCACATCTGCCAAACTTTCCGCCAAGAAGTTCTCCGCATAATATGGACCCCTTCTTCAAAGCGCCAGACATCGATGAGAACTACAAGCTGATCTCCGATGCCAAGAACAAGTACTACAAGATTGATGATCGAAAATTGGTTCAGATAGAAACCATGGCCAGTATGTTCTTTGGTCTAAATAGATCTAGAACAATAAATGAGACACTTATCACCAGATTTCGTAACCACGACCTCTGAAGATGATAGAATGATTTACTCGGCCCTACTGATGCAAAGAAGGACCAGCAGTTCTTAACAGATCATCTCCGTCTGTCTCAGCAGCACTGACCTTAGCTTCGTCGTCAAGGCCTCCTCGCTTCCTGCAACTGGGGTGAGAACTTTACAGCTCCACTATATACAGCCCGTGGTCTTCCCCATCCATCTTTGGCGGAGGAATAGACAAAGTCTCAAAGGAAGTCACCAAGGATTCCAGAGAAGTCCTGATGATTAAATCGATGGACCGCTAGCCAGTGTCATTCGACAGACTTCACAAAGATACTCAGGGAGATCTAAATTCACGGGCCTACAAAGAGCAAAGAGACAGGAAGATAGCCAGTTCAGGGGAAGAGATTCTTTTCGTAAGCCCATATGGCAACTATAGAGGAGGGTCAGGAAGAGGCAGGACACCCAGAGGTTCCGCAACTATAAGCGCTGAAAGACAGGTTGGAGCGACTGGAGTCTTCCACCCCAGCCGTTCCAGTACAACCGTCACAAGTGGGTGGGCGTCTCCAACTACACTGGGAAAACTGGGGAATGCTTCAAGACACCTATGTCTCCAACATTCTTCAGCAGCGGTTTAAGTATCCCACTACAGGCCAAGCCTCCACTAACAGTCAACCCTCACAAGTTCGACGGTACAGGCACAGCAACTACTAAAGTTAAGAGAGGCTGTTACATTACTCCTAACCAAGCAGGCCATAGAAGTAATAGATCAAGGAAACATCGAACCAGGTTTCTACTCCCCAGTTTTCCTAGTACCCAAGAAAAACTCCAAGGAGAAATACAGACTCATTTACAACATGAGCTTCTTCAACAAGACTTATCTCGCCAGACCACGAGGTTCCCATGATACATCTACATGATTACGGCACATGATTAGCCCCATGGACTACATGGGCAGTATAGATCTACAAGATGCTTATCTGCACATCCCTATACATCCCGAATCCAGGAAATACCTACGGTTTACTCTAGGCGGGTTACATTACCAGTGGAAAGTACTCCCATTGAATATCATCAGCCCCATGGTTATTCACGAGGATAGCGAAACCGATTGTCACCTATCTACATCGTCAAAGGGACTCGCAGTGCGTTCTTCCTCGACTGACGGGATACAAGTAGATCAAGATCCACAGCATCTCAAACTACAGTTAAACTACATCATAAAGCTACTAACACAGCTGGGATGGTTAGTAAACTTACACAAGTCGGACCTAGTACCATCGCCAAGATCTGCAATTCCTAGGCATTGATTTATCACCAATCTCAACCGTATAGTGGTACCAGAAGACCGTTGGCTCAAGATCCAACAGATCATTCCTCCAGCCCTACTCTCTCCGCTACCACGCCGACAATGGCAGAGTTTACTAGGTCTTCTAACATCAGCCCAAGACTTGACAGTCATAGGCAGATTACAGTTTCGTCCCTTACAGGTCTTCATCAACACACATCTCGGCGACCTACAACCATTCAGTCTACGGAACATCTCAGACCTCATCTACTATGGTGGACCAAGAAATCGAATGTCTGCGAAGGGATTTGTTTAGCAGAGCAGGAATTCAAAACCCATCTATATGTAGGCAGCGTCGGCTCCAAGGTTGGGAGCTCATCTCACCAACCGGACGGCATCAGGGTTATGGAATCAGCTAGAAAGCAAGCTCCACATAAACTCATTAGAGATGAAAGCTGTAATCAGCGCCATAAGACATTGGAGCAACATTCTACAGAATCGCACCTGATGATACATACCGACAACTTCGACAGTGGCGTTCTATGTGAACAGGCAAGGCTCAGCGAGATCGCCGAACCTTTTGACTTTAACCTTTCAACTGTTGAATTAATCCAAGATCTAAATCTACATGTCAAAGCATGCCACATTCCGGAGCCAGGAATATACTAGCAGGCGCTCTCTCTCGGCCCACATCTACCGTCGCCCGACAGAATGGATGCTCAATACAGAGATATTTGCACAGATAATCAAGCAAATAGGAGCGCCAGCTAGTAGATCTATTAAGCCACAAGATTCAACAATCAACTACCGACATTCGTGTCACCAGTTCCAGACCCACAAGCATGGGCAGCGGGGCTCTAAGCATATCATGGGAAGGCCTCAATGCGTGCAGCGTTTCCGCCCCAGCAATAATACCTCAAGTATTACAGAAAATCAGTCAAACACAGAGCCTACAACTCATTTTGGTGCGCCCTACTGGCGGCCAGAGCGTGGTTTCCAGCTCTAATACAAGAAATCGGTCACCCGGCACTAGAGCTACCCAAAAAGCTCAAAGCTGTTAATACATCCACACACCAAACAGGTGCACAGAAACCCAGAAGTATTCAAACTTCGCGTATGGACTGTATTAAAATGTGTTTAAACAAGAGAGGATATTCTACCAGGCGGCAAAAGCGGTCAGCTTGCGCTTACGATACTCAACTGGCGTGGCAATGCGGCGACAAGTGGCACAGTTTTGAAAATTATGCAGCAAACAAGGGTTTTACAGCAAGAGATGCTACGCATCCTCAAGTGGCAGACTATTTGTGTTACTTACGGCAAAACAAACATTTAAAGGCTCGACATTGTCAGCATATCTTGCGGCGCTTAGTTCTGTGATTTCTATGAGAGCGGGTGTTAAATTGACAAAAACACCAGAGTTACTGGCCTTACTCGTGCTTTCGATTGGAGGACCAAAGCGGAAGTTCCCGCCCCAGCTTGGGATCTGAATGTAGTGCTACAACACCTCACAAGTGAGGATTATGAACCATTGGAATCGACAACCTTTGAATTTCTCTCACAGAAAACAATTTTCCTGTTATAAGCTAGCCACGGCAGCCAGAATATCTGAAATTCACGCTCTAGATTATGAGAGGATACAGTTTGATGACAATCAAAACACAGCGCACCTGGGATTAAGATGGGATTTCATCGCCAAAATCAACTACCAGGACAACCAGACAGGTTATTTCCGTCCCTGCGCTATCCTCGATTCTCGGATCTCAAGATACATTGGACTTATCTCTATGCCCAGTCACGAGCTCTCAAAATCTATTTCACGTCGTTCCAAAACAAAGGCGAAGATGGCTCAGAAGATTGTTCATCCCGTTATAAGCCTACTAATCAGACAGAAGTCTCTCGTACCACCATATCTATATGGATAAGAACTGTCATTCTGCGCCTACAAGGCAGCAGGACTGGACCCTCAACAGCATCAAATCCCCATGAAATCAGGGCATTGGCCTCCACCCCTCGCCCTTCACGGTAACTGTTCATTGAATACAATTATGGAAGGATGCTTCTGGAAATCTAACATGGTGTTTGCTAATCACTATCTGAGAGATATCACCACCGAGGACGTCTCTGGCATTCACCATTTCGGTCCTTTGGTCCTCGCTCAGCAACTGACAGTCCCTCGTAGGCGTTAATATTCACTCACGAGATTATTATGTATATTATACATACATTATTTAGCTTATAACTCCACGGAGTTCTAGGGCTATGTATATATTTAGCTTAGGTTATTCAACCTTAAGCTCATACTGAGTTTTATGTTCAGTTGTACAGCTTCTCTATCAGAGTAGCTTTTTATATCTATAATTTGGTATATCAGTATATTAGTAATGTAATACCCCAGTTATGGTAATATATAACCTATGGCTTATTATAAAGGAAATATCCTAAGTCAATGCCTTTATGAAGTTCCATGAAGTTATTACAGTATAAGTTATTTAAATCACTAATTATAAATCCAAAGTATTCTGTTTATGCCCACCTCCACTCCGATTGGATTCTACAAACAAAGAGCATGAGTCAGGATAAGGAAAAATATGTAATTTTTGAGTAAAATTGATATTTTATACTTATCCTGACTCATGAGTTAACCCTCCCATCCTCCCACATAACACTTTGGATTTCCCTGTAAATTCAAGTGTTGGGCTCGCAAAATCAGGAGAGAGTGAAGCATGAGGCCAGAGGGTGGCGACACCTGTTCAGCTTACGGCAGGGGAGGCAACTCTTGGGTGAGTACCAATTAGTGATTTTACATTGAAGGGAGCTTCAATTAAGGAGATACAAGTGTTCCACTATGTTGCATGACAAGAGGAAGGGACAAGCAAAAAAAAGAGCATGAGTCAGGATAAAGTATAAAATATCAATTTTACTCAACAAAAATTACATTTGTGACTAAACGACCAAGCAGTCGATCATGTTTTCTCATAATCGAACACAAACAATTCTGGAACACTTGTTTACATTAACAATATTTTTCACAAGGTTGGTTTTGTTTGTTACATTTTATGACCACTACAAGGTCGCATTCCAAGTCATGGTTGAATTTATCTTCAAGACTCCAAGAAATTAGTGTTCCTAACCTACTAGTCATCCTTTAAAGATGTGAAATTTACCCAATGCCTTTTGTGCAATTTGCAAAAAACCAAGAACTACAGGGTTTTTCTTTATTTGAATAGTTGGCTATAGGGTTTTGCTTGATATGAGTAGGTTGATATCCTAGTAGCTGAATACATGAATAGCTAGAACATGATAGCTGGATATCTGAATAGTTGGCTATAGGATTTTTGATGATATGTGAGTAGGTTGATATCCTAGTAGCTGAAAACATGAATAGCTGGATATGATAAGCGGATATCTGAATAGTTGGCTATAGGATTTGCTTGATATGTGAGTAGGTTGATATCCTAGTAGCTGAATACATGAATAGCTAGACATGATAGCTGGATATCTGAATAGTTGGCTATAGGGTTTGCTTGATATGTGAGTAGGTTGATATCCTAGTAGCTGAAAACATGAATAGCTGGATATGATAGCTGGGATATCTGAATAGTTGGCTATAGGATTTGCTTGATATGTGAGTAGGTTGATATCCTAGTAGCTGAATACATGAATAGCTAGACATGATAGCGGGATATCTGAATAGTTGGCTATAGGGTTTGCTTGATATGTGAGTAGGTTGATATCCTAGTAGCTGAAAACATGAATAGCTAGATATGATAGCAGGATATCTGAATAGTTGGCTATAGGGTTTGCTTGATATGTGAGTAGGTTGATATCCTAGTAGCTGAATACATGAATAGCTAGACATGATAGCGGGATATCTGAATAGTTGGCTATAGGGTTTGCTTGATATGTGAGTAGGTTGATATCCTAGTAGCTGAAAACAAGACTAGCTAGACATGATAGCGGGATATCTGAATAGTTGGCTATAGGATTTGCTTGATATGTGAGTAGGTTGATATCCTAGTAGCTGAATACATGAATAGCTAGACATGATAGCGGGATATCTGAATAGTTGGCTATAGGGTTTGCTTGATATGTGAGTAGGTTGATATCCTAGTAGCTGAAAACATGAATAGCTGGATATGATAGCGGGATATCTGAATAGTTGGCTATAGGGTTTGCTTGATATGTGAGTAGGTTGATATCCTAGTAGCTGAAAACATGAATAGCTAGACATGATAGCAGGATATCTGAATAGTTGGCTATAGGGTTTGCTTGATATGTGAGTAGGTTGATATCCTAGTAGCTGAAAACATGAATAGCTAGATATGATAGCGGGATATCTGAATAGTTGGCTATAGGATTTGCTTGATATGTGAGTAGGTTGATATCCTAGTAGCTGAAAACATGAATAGCTGGATATGATAGCGGGATATCTGAATAGTTGGCTATAGGATTTGCTTGATATGTGAGTAGGTTGATATCCTAGTAGCTGAAAACAAGACTAGCTAGACATGATAGCGGGATATCTGAATAGTTGGCTATAGGGTTTGCTTGATATGTGAGTAGGTTGATATCCTAGTAGCTGAAAACATGACTAGCTAGATATGATAGCGGGATATCTGAATAGTTGGCTATAGGGTTTGCTTGATATGTGAGTAGGTTGATATCCTAGTAGCTGTAGTTGGCTATAGGATATTGCTTGATATGTGAGTAGGTTGATATCCTAGTAGCTGAAAACAAGACTAGCTAGATATGATAGCGGGATATCTGAATAGTTGGCTATAGGGTTTGCTTGATATGTGAGTAGGTTGATATCCTAGTAGCTGAAAACATGAATAGCTGGATATGATAGTAGCTGGATAAAGGAGTTGCTTGATATCTGAGTAGGTTGATATCCTAATAGCTGAACACATGAATAGCTGGATATCTGAGTAGGTAAATAAAGTTAAACATCCTTGAGGTACATACACAGATCCAGAGGGGTTGCAGGGGGCCAACTCCCCATGTCTAAATTAAAGCATACTGAACATTAATACATGGAGGACTTTTATAATTGATCAGGGGTGTATTAAGTGTAAATAGTATTCCAACACTATAACTAACTATTTTGTTAATATACTTCCCATTAAAAGTTTAGACTCACTAGTGTAAATATAGCCACTTACTTCAGGCAACTGTTCTAAACTAAATTTGCAAAATAGTCCATACTGTTTAAAGGTACGTAGGCTGTTTACACGTGAACTGATGTATTGTAAAACAAATTTGTAACGTTGAAAAATTATTGTCCCGAGTTCAATAAATGATAAAAATCAGTGAAAATTGGCGAATTCTTAACAAACCTTTACACTAAAACGCAGCTGTTCACATCCACGATATTTGCACATGCTTTTCAGCAATTTGATGCATGATCTTCGAGCAATTCATCTGCATAAGGTTTGCAGTTGGATCCCCCAAGTTAGTGGAGAAATCAATCTTCGATGTAACCAAATCTAAACTATTGATGGGAAGTATATAGGGAATCTCACCCTCGTGTCTTCTGATATCAATTATATCAACACGTGTTGATAAAGTTACAAATATCCGAGGCTTGCCGAGGATATTTTAACATTTATCAACAAGTGTTGATATATTTGATATCAGAAGACACGAGGGTGAGATTCTATTTATCATCCAGAAACACTCTTCATTAGTTTTCAATGAAAAATGTACATATCTGAACACGGTACTGTCATTAGACTTGCAGTACAGCGATGTCATAGCATTGTGACGTCATCAAGTTCATGACGTCATAGTATTGTCAGGGCATTGTACAAAATCTACTGTCAAAACGATATCTACTAGGAGATATCGTTTGATCTCACACAAGCAATATCTCCTGTGGAACACAGTTTTGGATAATAAATGTAAACAAACCTACAAGACTACCCAACAAGACTTGTCTGACTGGAGTTCACACATTCCTTAAAAGTGTTGTATCCCTGCGTGAAGTGCCAGTCAAACATTGAATCAGTATCATTGCCCTGTTTTCATGTTGTATAACTCAGGCCCGTGGCAACGACAGCCGAATCTACCGCCCCGAGGCCTTTGATGCCGCTACCACCCGTCTGGACATGACTGGCCAACTAAAACCAGCGCTGTAAGTTGAACCAACCCTCCATGCAAATGTTGTCACATCGATACAAGTCGCTGTCGAGTCGTAAGCTCCGGATATTAAATGTTGGTACTGTAAGCCATACCAGCTTAGGAAAGTCTGAGAGGATATGGTTGATCTATGGCTCTGATTAGAATTTGGAACCTTGTTAAAATATGCATTCATAGAGCTTTGAACTCCCATTCTGATTTGTAAATTTTCACACAGACATACACAATAATCTTGAACACAATGTTAAAACACCATTCTCCTCACCACTCTCCACACCACACCACACCACAACACAACACAACACAACACAACACAACACAACATCAACCTCACCTCAACCCCACTCAGCTCAACTCAACTCAGCTCAAACACAGGCCCTCGAAGCAAGCCCTCTGGTTGGTTGTTGCTTGTTAAGGAGACGTTTACAACTGATGCTTTCTTTTGAAAAGTCATTGCTCAAAAAATATTCTTACATTAAGCAGTTGATGAAAGGAAAAATTCCAGCGAATTTACAAAGAATGTGCAGATTTGCAAGCGTTGACCAATCAGAGAGCTTGCTTCGACCACATTCCCGTTTTGTCCGAACATATCGTCATCCATTTGTGTCAAGATCGTTTAGTTGACGGTCAAAATCGGGTTTCAATCGACTTGCAGAAATAACAATAAAGAATTGGTAGGTGTCATGAGTGGTGCTCGATAGGCCAATCATCCATGATTATGTTTACATTAAGTTTTAATCGATTGCGTGCGATGGTAGCGTAGCGATCGGCAAAGCAGGTGGGTGAGGTACACCGAAGTGTCCGGCCTTGTCATAATGTATTGTACTGTGAAGCATTTCGAGTCAGGGGTCATCTACAAAAATTATTGTTTTAAATCTTTAATCTACACAAAGACACGAGGGCCTGTTAGCTCAACCCCATGTTAGAATGCGTTGGATTTTTCAACAATCACAGATGTCCCTTCAATTCCATGTTAGAATGTGATGGATTTTTCAACAATCACAGATATCCCTTTCTAAGAAACCAAATTCTTCACTTCCATAACGCTAAAAAAATAAATGCATAAATGGTTGAATGCATTTCCTCCACCAGACTCAGCATCGAGTACACAGACGATGAAGGGATGAGGTACCGGTCAACGATGAGTGACCTCTTGGAAGATGGACAGGTAAAGTAGCCAGTCTATACTATCACTCACAGTTTCCATGGAGATTTTCCGTAGGAGGTTCACGGCAATACTAATAGACTTATTATATTGTGGTGTTTCTCCTTATTCCTTTACAAGAAAGTGTTCAAAATTAAGCATGAAAATCAAGGGATGCTGGTCATTGCCCTTGTGTTAAAAGATGAAGATTTAAGGGTCCCTGGATCCAAACACGACCAGTCTAAGTAAACTTAGACTCAGTATTATTCGTTACACTGCTATACTGAGTCTAACAAAACCTTGTGGAAGGTCGCGTCAGATAACCTTTCCAATTGACCAATCAGAACACAGCTTACCAAATCGCGAAAGTTGACATTCGCACATACCTTTTGAACTTTTACCTCCAAAAGTTTGATTCCAAATGCTATTTTCCGTACGATCGGTTCCTAGTGAGGTAGCCACAGCAGTGAGTAAACAGTCGCTGAAAATAGCGTTTTGTCAGTATTCAAGCATGTCAGCTTGCTGAAATATTAGCTAATGATAGCCATGTCAACAGAAACCCCAAAGCGTATATACTGCAGGTCAAATATCTGTGTTTTATGCAATTTTCATTTGTTGGGAGATCAGTGTTGGCGAACGGGGAAGAGAAAATCCATTTTGTAAGTCCCGCCAAACCCTAAATAGTAGCTGTTGTCTGATTGGTTAAATCCGTTCGGCCGTCTCGCGTTTGATTGGACGGTCATAGGTCGCTCAAAGGTTACCTGACGCGACCTTTCACAAGGTTTTGTTAGACTCAGTATAGCAGTGTAACGAATAATACTGAGTCTAAGTTTATTTAAACTGCAAACACGACAGGAGCAAGACACCCCATACCCCTTTAGTTGCAAACTATTAGGGCTGCGCAATATAACCGATTTACCGGTTCAGACATGAAACCGATACGTATTGCGATACGCTGATCGAAAACCGGTATTTTGACATGCATTCGGAAAACTTCGTAACACTCGGAATCTTCGTATATTTCCGTTTTATAAATTGTTCCTTTCCTTTGTTTATTTGTGCCAAGTATTATTTACATTTTTATTTTGTCATGATTAAAAGTTTTATTAAAGCTTAATCAAGCATGGTGATTTTGTTGTGTTTTTGCTTTATAATCAAGCATTAACTCGATTATAAATAGTTTTTTGTTAAAAAAATAATTCTTGCAATATATTGCAATACATATCGCAATATATGCTTCCGCATTGCAATATATCGCAATATGAAAATTCTCTGCAATACCCACCCCTACAAACTATGTCAGTAACCAAAAGTTAGCTTGAAAATCAAGGGGTCATCATAAAAATGTCCTGATATCGCTGCTTCATTCTTTCTCCAGACTTTGCCGGAGTCACTGAGGGTGTGCAGCACCATGCTGTCCAACAACACAGAGACTCCTCTCATCTTCAGGCTTCAGGTCAACAATCCCTTCATGCTGGTTGACCTGAACCCAGCAACAAACCCGGAGAAGGCTTCCAGGGCGATGGAGACTGGCTTCCATACCCTTCGACCTCAACACAACCTGCTGGTGAGAAAGTTTTGTTATTTTGTTTGTGTTTTGTTAAGTACAGTGTTCAGCAATATTCTAGCTGTACACTAGTGGTAGTATTGGCATACAACTTGCGATATGATACATCACGATGCTAAAATATTAGTCACGACGATATATTGCCAAAGTATCGTGCACCGAAGCTGCGATACAATACAAATCCTGATATAAGGGTGACGATACGATACAAATCCCGATATAAGGGTGATGATACGATACAAATCCCGATATAAGGGTGACGATACGATACGCATCACGATACTAAAATATTTAATTCTAACACCAACTATAATACACCTGAATATCAAAACAAAACCATTTAAAGTATTTCGTCAAATTCCGCCAGCGTTTTTCAATGTTCATTCGGAAACGAGATAATTAAGTTTATACACAGACTTTGTGAACGATAATAACATGTGAGTGCTATGTCTGACACAGTTCTTGACGCAAGAATTTCCGAGAAAACATTTACTTATGAAGGGAAAATAAATAAGCAAATATTTTAATCAAACAAAAGTGAGTCTTTCTTCTTGACAGATATCGCGATTCGGTAATATTCAAAGTTAAAACATCGATGTATCATTGCCCAATTGAAGTATCGTATCGTGATATACGACAATGTAAAACTTTGTATCGATTCACTGTATCAGCGGCCCATGGATCGATGTATCGATGTGTATCGGTGAATCGTCACACCACTAACGAACACTGCTGGCAAAGAATATAGATTGACAATGTTTGATGTAATTCTGAGATAATGTTCGATGATCCACATCGTCAGGGCGACACACAATCAGTCAAGTCACTGAGTATGACAATCTAACCCAGGTGGGTGGGTGTGGTCACAATTTACAAGGACTTGATATAACTCACTATTCCATGTTCCACCTGATTGTGATTCTTCACTTATCAGCATCATTTGCAGGAGTGTGTGCCCCCTTCTCCCCCGAATTTGTTTTCCCTGAGGAGCATTTCCCCCTAACCTTTGGACTTCATGATTTATGTGGAGCCCTCCTGGATCCAGCCCTGTTACCCTGTTTGATTAGTTTCTAGTTTATCTTCACACTCAGCAATATTCCAGCTATATGGCATCGGTCCGTAAATAATCGAGTCTGTACCAGACAGTCCAGTGTTCAACGTCATGAGCATCGATCTATGCAATTACTGACTGACTGAGTTTGTTTTTTTAGCAATATTCCAGCAACATCACGGCTGGGGACACCAGAAATGGGCTTCACACATTGTACCCATGTGGGGATTCGAACCCGGGTCTTCGACGTGACGAGCCAACGCTTTAACCACTAGGCTACCCCACCGCCCTTCTATGCAATTAAGATATGATGACATGTGTTAACAAAGTCAGCGAGCCTGGTCCTCTTAGTTGCTTCTTACGACAAGCATAGGTTGCTGAAGACCACTTCTAACCTGGATCTTAATGGGTAGCATCATGCCTGGTGAAGATACGGGTTAGAATGCTGGACCCTGTTTCAAAAAAACCAAGCTGGTTCACCATGATATGCTGATTTATACTGTTCAACATTGTTGAACACAACTTACTGAACACAAAAACACAGAGCTTGTTGTTACTTGTCCTCAAATTTGAGTAAAAACTCGTAAGTCAGACTTAAGTTTGACATTTTGCTTTTAAATGCGAGGCAGCTCATGGAATCAGTGGTCCGAAAATGCATGTAGCGCAATGCTTTTACATTGCCTGGTAACCACAGTTATCTCCCCTGCAGGTGAAGGTGGCGTTCCAGACAACCACACAGCTGCTGGACACAATTATACCCATACTAAAAACCAAGCTGGTTCACCATGATATGCTGACTGAACACAACTTGTTGTTACTTGGACGGCGATGACACTCAGGCGCCACAGCTGCTGGTATAAACTGACACTCAGCCGTCAGGTCGCAAACTGGAAATACAGGATGACCTGCTCATCGAATTCAACAACACCACCATACAGGTCAGCCCTAGACCTTTGAATATTTCTTGTTGATATTCTGTGTAGATGAGGCTGGAGGTGAACAGATCTACATTGATGAGTTGGGAAACATATTTGATTTGGAGTTTTTTCATGACCAGTTTGACTTTACTGAAAATTAAGGATGTTCATTTCTGGAGCATAACTCCCAAACTGTTGAATATTTCTGGATGAATCTTGCTATACACATCAGTATAGTGGTGAACTGGTGCATTTTGAAGATTTCATCTACTGAAAATTACCGAACAGCATTTTTGAGCTAAAGAAGGTATCTAACAGCACTAAGGGTGGGTATTGCCGAAATTTTCATATTGCGATATATTGCAAGAATTCTTTTAAAAAAAAACTACTTATCGAGTTAATGCTTGATTTACAAAGCAAAAACACAACAAAATCACTATGCTTGATTAGGCTTTAATAAAAACTTTAAATCATGACAAAATAAAAATGCAAATAATGTTTTGGAACAAATGAAACAAGGAAAGGAACAAATTAAAAAACGGAAATATCCGAAGATTTCCGAGTGTTATGAAGTTTTCCGAATGCATGTCAAAATACCGGTTTTCGATCAGCGTATCGCAATACGTATCGTTCTCATGCCTAAACCGGTATATACCGGTAAACCGGTTATATTGCGCAGCCCTAAACAGCACTGAACCAAAGGTGGGTATAAGTAGCCAAACTCCTCCTTTGTTTAATCGCACCAGACCAGAGGGATATGTCATCTTGCGATGACTCCTGCTCAGTTTTATCTTTACCCATTCCTGAACATAATTTAGGTATGGGTACAGTCTTTGTGCATAATATGAATACCGGTATATTTTGCAATTGGGTAAACACATGTTGTTCTCCATGAGACTGATTCTAGTGCTGTGGGTTACAGAGAGTGCCGCTGAATGCCACGCTGGCCATCCCCGAGATCGAGCTGTCGAAGCTGTCGCTGGACTTCGGCACGTGTCTGGTGGGACAGGAGAGGGTCCTGGAGTTCTTCATCACCAACCACACATCCTCCCACAGCTTCTGGACGGCCACCATCGGTCAGTACAGATCGTAACTCTTGTACTTTAAGCAAAGTTTTGCAAGAGTCAGTTTGTGGGACGGGACCCTTCTTCTTGGCCACCATTGGTCAGTAACACACAATTAGCTCTTAACACCCCAGGGCCCTGTACCATAAAGATCTTAAGTCCTGTACTTTCAGCAAAGTTTTTGTGGGATGGGACCCTTCCTCTTGGTGTTTTCTATTACAGGCCTGTTAAAATCGAGGCTAGAATTATCCTATGTTGTTTAATGCTACTTTATGCAATATTTCAGCCATATGATAGCCGCCTGGTAATTCATCAAGTCCAGACTAGACAATCCAGTGATTGATATCATGGTCAATCCAAATGTGATTGATATCATGGTCAAAATGCATGTGTGGGCTTGGGACAATTACCTTCAATCAACAAAGTCACACCAATTGTGTAGATTGATCTGGTCCAGTTGTAAGAGGCGACGGGGAGCTTTCGCGGTTGTCTGGTCCAGACCGATTATTTTAGCCATATAGCTGTTGTCTGGTCCAGACTCGACATTATTTCACCAGTCCGACTCAATACTTTATTCTATGATGTACTCTGTTCCATATAGCTGTATGTGTTGCTAAAAGGAGCCTAGTGGTTTAATTAAACAACAAATGGGTAAACAAACAAAGCAAAGTCAAACAAAACAAAGTCACCAAGTCCGACTCCAAAACTTTATTCTATGATGTACTCTGTTCTACAAAGAAACCCTGTACGTGTTCATGATTGTCCATAGGCTTGACATTCATTTTGCTTATTCCAGAGAATCCCTCAGACACGTGTGTACACGAGACGTTCAAGGTGCTGCCCTCTAGTGGGCTGCTGGATGCCCACATCACTCATGTCAGCAACAGCAAGATGTTGATAAAGGTTCACTTCAAAGCCAAGTAAGTGGTTCAATAACAGTTGTATATTGAAACAATAGTTGTACAACCATTTACAATACAGAACCAATAGTTTCTCCAGAGAGTAAGACTCTAAATGTAACACCAGCTATTCTCTTTTCAGGTATTCAGTTTTGGACACAATTTTTAAACAATTCAGGATGTGTAAGATTGGTTAAGAGAATATGCACAAATAAATTATTAAAAACTATCTGTGAATTGCATCAAAACTGAGTGCTACTTTACCTGGTGGCAGTGTTTGAAAATATAGGGTTCCTTGAGATTTCCTGCGATAATGCTTAAATCTTGGGACCTACCAAACATTAGTGAGTGAGTTAATATTTAACGTCACATCGGCAATATCTCAGCCATATCGTGACGAGTCTACCTACCAAACATTAACCTTTCAACACGACAAGACCTGTTTCTCTTTCGTGCCTCTTTCCAGTATAGTCCTCATCCAAATACAAGAAAAGTCCCTATCTTTTAGGATCTCTCAGCAGCAGTAAAGCGTAATCCAGTAATTAGTAGGACACATCCTACCCTCCAAAATTCTTCTTGTCATGGAACTAGCCACAGAATGTATCAATTTACTGAAAACAAACAAGGTTTACCGGATTGGTGAAAAAGTGTCCACCTGTTCATAGATCAACTGCATGAATATTAACCACATGGTCTAATGGAGTGAGTGAGTGAGTTTAGTTTTATGCCGCACCCAGCAATATTCCAGCTATATGGCGCTGGTCTGTAAATAATCGAGTCTGGACCAGACATTCAAGTGATCAACAGCATGAGCATCAATCTGCGCAATTGGGAACCGATGACATGTGTCAACCAAGTCAGCGAGCCTGACCACCCCATCCCGTTAGTCGCCTCTTACGACAAGCATGGGTTGCTGGAGACCTATTCTACCCCGGATTTTCACGGGTCTGGTCTAATGGATGGTGACAAGCACTAGTGTTCAACATGGTCAAGATGTGCAGTATGGGTGATAAGGCCTGGCCCCGATTTCTCGAAACAAACTTAAGTTTTTACTCAAATTTCAAAACTGAGTTTAACAATTTGAAACAGCAAATTTTAACTCAACTGCATTTTAAAATAAAAAAGCCCAAACAACTTAAGTAATCTATCTACCAAACTCAAATTGTCTACTATGTTTGAGTTTAATATTGATTTCAGTTTATTCTGGAAAATGCATATTTCTGTGTTTTCTCAAAATTGAGTAAAAACTCTAACTTAAGTCAAAACTCAGACTTAAGTTTGTTTCGAGAAATTGGGTCCAGGTGTATCATATTACCTGATTTTGATGCTATCTCTGCATTGGCCTTGGAGTAATTTTGTGATTTTGTGCCATTGTCAACTGGACAATTTTCTCATGTTCTGATTCTCCCTTCCAGACACGCGGAGAACTACGAAGCAGTCTTCCTGTTCCAGGGGGCCCTGGGAGAGTCCTCCAAGAGGTTGTATGTCAGAGGTCAAGGGTCATATGACGGCAAACATGAGGCTATGCTCAATATATAGTCCATCAACGTGTATGTTCGACATATGGCATAACAGTGCTCCTGTACAAACTCATTCTGATTTTTTAAATCTTTGCCAAAAAGTAATATTATACTGGTGTATTTCTGGAGAAACATAAGATGTATGTGATAGATAAATAGTGTAAGTAATAACTCGACTATGCAAGGATTTTACTTTTGAGGATAAACTTTTCAGCATTGTCTTTAAATTTTAGACAATGGAGTCATCTGTGGTCACTGGTAGGCCTCTGGTTTAGGAGTGTTGCTTGGAACAGCTAAATGGCTAAAATACATGCAAGGATAGATGCAGCCACTTGTCCATCGCTCTCTTTTGAACACATTCATCTTTTATCTGAAATAAGCTGTAGACTAGCCAGACCAGCTTGGTATATTGAGAGCGTGTTGCATTATACCAATATACTGCAACAGAGTCCTTAAGGACCAGCCATCATAAGGTTGATGTTTGTTTAAACTTTGGTAGTTCATTGATCACATTATTATTTATATATTCAGCTATTTATTGATGTTTGTTGTTTCCAAGGCTTAACATCTGTGATAAAACTTCATATTTTAGCAAAGTTCTTCAAGTTCTCAACTATTGACTGTGTTGTATTGTTTGAATAAAGAGACATCATATCCATAGTAATTGTTGTTTTCTTCCATCCCAGGGGTGGAAATAACCCATTGCCCAACGAGTTCGGTGATACTTGGGTATAGATTGTCACGTTGTATAAAGTGCTGCAATCTGCATTGCACAGTTATGTCCCTTTGGCATGCCAGGAACCTGTCAAAGTGTGTTTGAATACTGGTTCACTCCAGTTATGTTGTCCAGTGTTGTCTGGCAATATCTTTCCCAACATGGGTACAATGTGTGAAGCCCATTTCTGGTGTTCCCTGCCATGATATTGATGAAATATTGCTAAAAGCAGTGGAAAACTTAACTCACTCACTAACAAGATCTATTCCCATAAGTTTTAACCACGACCAACCCGGCATCACTATATTCCGCATCACACACTGTGGTAGAACAGGAACACTGTTCAAAGCAGCATTAAACCCAACCCACTCACTCTGAGTTAACATTTCGGCTCTCCGGTGGACGCTCTAACCAGTCACATCGGCAATATTTTCAGCCAGATTATGACTAGAACAGGTTATGTACTGTTCAAAGCAGCATTAAAAAAATAGTTAACATTAGAGTATTTGAAATCTGTTGTCATTAGAGTATGAAATCTGTTGTGAAAGGACAGTAAAACAACTAGAATATCGCAATTTGAGATATTACAACTAGCATTTAACTTAAAATTATATGACTACATAAAAAACAGGCTATAGATCACCAACAACAGAAGGTAGATCACCATACTAGGGACCATGGGGACTAGCATGGACCCTAGCTGGATTTACACCATCCCTTCAGACGTTGGCCAGCTTGGGCCCATGCTAGTCCCAGAATGAAAAAATACTTTGAAAAAATAAAAAGTATATTCGAATCTTGCTCATCAGAAGAAACTCTTTCCAGACTGGATAAAGAATTGTGGTTATAAACTTGAGTAAATAACAGCAATAACAAACTCAATAACATACCAACTGCAGCATAAGAGACAGGAAAACCATACCTTAAAACAGATGTCATTTTATTCCATAATAATAGAGTATATACATGAAAGGTATACATGTGTGAAGATGGTCATATGAAATTAAAGATGGCTGCCATAACGCCATATTGATTTGTAAATATACTCAACAACAAAAGTTCCTGCGACATGCATGTGGAGTGCTTCAGTCTTGACAGTCATTCACTAGTTGTAAAAGTGGGACCACATGGCTCACAAAATCTCACCATGTATGTCATGAAGAAGTTTGTGAAAGCTCTCAAAAAGAAAAGTGAGAAACACATCCATTTTCCAATCAATAGTCTTTTCATAAGTCAAGCTCAAGGTATTTTGCGCATCACATAACTTTTCTTGATAAGTATACGTACTACGTAAATGATATTTACTTTTTGTATGGGTATAATTACATACAAGATAAATCCAGTCTTTGAATGGCATTTAGAAGTGATACACATATGAACGAGAGTTTTATGGATGTCAACTTCACCTGAAGAAGGAATAAGCAAGCATATACTCTGAAACATTCCTCATAATAAAGAAGCTGATATGATAAATCAATATGATAAATCAATATGATACAACCATGGAGAATATGTTGGTTGGAATGACAAAATCAGTAACAAACTTTGATCCAAACATGGTATAAACAACATGGCATCGTTATAATGACACATGATCATTACTTCCATTTTGAGCATGGCAACACTTTGCTGGCAAGAGGAACACACTGATCAAACAGATATATCTGCAGACAAACAAAACAAAGATCAGGATTAAGTCATTGTCAATATTTTACAATTCCCTCAATTCATCACTTGTGTACAAACTAGACTGCTTTCCCACTCACTGCTATTTTTAAACAAATCATGTAAAGGCCTGGTTTCACTGAGCATTCCGACCAATCACAGTGTTCAGCTTGCATTACAAATGATTCTCGTGGAACATCAACATTATCTTTGTGATCATCTGTTTGAACTCACTGGTTTTATGTCAGGTAATAGTAGGGTTTGTACTATGTACCACACAAAATTGGCCTCATTTCAATTACCAAGTGCTAATACCCAGGTAACAAGAAAAACAACCATCTTTACATTGTCTTTTACAAATTTGTATACAATTTACATAAGTGTCAACCAACACTCCATAATCCGGATTGTTTTAGCTTACACCATATATTTTGGATTACACGTTCTCATTAAAGTACAGACTTGTGCCTTGGGGGCTGTGTCCGATCCAGGATTTGAATCCACGATGTCAAGGTGAGGCTGCCTATTCGCCAGCACATCCCGTCAGTGATCTAGCCCCCTCAGCCACTGCAGCTTCTAGTGTTGGGAATTAGTTAAAATCTCATAATTGATGATTGGTTCATTACAACCGATCAATCATCGAAAATAATTGGTTAGCGTCATTTATGAAATGTGTTAATGCACAAAAAAATAAGGAAAAAAACATGTAGTTCTTTGGGGATTTGGGGCAAAATTTCACATCTTTAAAGGATGACTAGTATGGAGGAACATAAATTTCTTAGAGTCTTTAAGATAAATTCAATCATGACTTGGAACGAGCTTGTAGTGCTTATGAAATGTAACAGACAAAACCAACCTAGTGAAAAATACTGTTAATGAAAACAAGTGTTCTAGAATTGTTTGTGTTCGATTATGAGAAAACATGATCGATTGCTTGGTCGTTTAGTCACTGCGACCAATCTTCGATTATTTCAATTAATCGGACCACCACTAGCAGCTTCCACAAAAATTGAAGTCTGAGAACTGGCAGTCTAGATCACATTTGGTACCAATCTGATAAATGTAAATTGGCATGGCTCCCAGTACCACATGGCGTAGCATCCATCTATACTGATGAGGACCAGTGGACAAGTTCTAATGGAGAAACAAAAGAAGATCTCCAGGCTCAAGACAGTTAGAAGCGGTTCGAAGGTGAGAAGTTGGTGTCGTGGCATGACAGATGAACTGTAGCCACAGTTGAGAACTGGATGATCCTTAACTTCTGTTGAATAGTATATATCAAGTGAGCAACACCGCTGTCAGATCACGGTCTCATCAAGCCAGAAACAGTCAAGGTGAAGCGAAATGTGTATGATCTATAAATCCAAAAATTTACATCGAAAACTTGACATTGCTTTGTAACATAGATGTACAATAATTAAAGCTCAAAGATCACATTATGACGCAGCGAACTTCAACATACTGTAAATCATGAAATTAATGCGTCACGAATTTAATGCGATTGCGAGGGTCTAGTCTAAAATGCGTCACGAAATTAATGCGAGCTCAGGAATCTGTGTTGATGATAATATGTGACACCCTGAATCTTTGGTGTTGTTCGTTTTCTTTTCACACTTGTTATTTACCAAATAACCTGAATTGAGCTTATTAAGCAATGAATGGAAATGAGCTGACGATGTTTTGATTACGCTGCCTTGTTTGATCACGTGATTCCTTGCTACTACTTGTCTTATGACAACATGTATAAACGTAATCCGACTTGAAAGACACAAGTCATCTACCAAGGTGCAACAAACAGGTGGCTGGAGAATGTCCGGTCTGGCTGACGTGCTTGAGTGACTTTAAACAATGACCAGAGATAATTACATGTGGTTTAAGATACCTGTAATGAGGAAGTGACCATTATTGGTGTAATGTGTAGTGTCAACAGATTTACGTTTTCTGTCTTTTATTAAGTAGACATGGTCAGACTGATATGCGTCTGACCATGTTCATTGTGTTTTGTGAGTTCTGACAGATAGGCAGGAGCAGAATGGTGATAGCATTGATAAGCTAAGGACAGGATCTTGTACTCAATTCTTGCATGAACAGGAACCAGTGAAGCTGGATCAGAGTTATGTGGGATGATTTCTTGCACCTCATCACAATCCTGGCTCAGAGGCCCAGATAAGCTGCGTATCCGGGTAAAATATGCATAGAAAATTTCCAGTTACGCATTGAAAAATAATTGTTGCGTACCAATTACGCATTTAAAATGTTAGATACGCAAAAAGTTTAAAACAAATGCGAACGGAATATATTTATACAAATCGCTTGCGTAATGAAAAAGACATCGATTGCTATCAAGTTGTACTGTTAGTATAGGACTAGTGTTGTACTGTCAGTATAGCATGAGTGATTTTTTATGAAATCCTTTCCATTATATTTCAGTTGGTTTTGATTTGATTTTGATATAAGGCAGAACATACCTGCTTAGTAAAGTTACTCAATAACATAATACTTAGGTGAGTAAAATGACTGAAATATGCACATATTTGAAAGCAGTGGGTAATACCCACACAACATTGATAATACCCACTCCAAAAAAATACAGTGGGTACAGTACCCACATGAGCTAAATCTTATCTGGAGCTCTGCTGTATTTTCGACATGCTGCAACCTTTGGAGTTGCTCATTTGATACGTTGGCCAAGAGACTGTTGCAATAATCCAGTCGTGATAACACCAAAGAGTGCACAAGAGCATTGGCCGCATTTGTGGGAAGAAGGTGTCTGATAGCCCCAATGCTTCGTAGCTGATAGTGACAGGCCCTGATCGTCTGACTGATATTAGCTTCCCAGGAGAGTTCCTGGTCAAATAGGACTCCGAGGTGCTTGACTTTGTCTGAAAACTGAATGTCAGATTCCCCCACACGTATCTGCGTTTCCCTCACTTTTGTACGATTGGAACGAGTGCCCACTAGTAAAGCTTCTGTCTTGCTGTCATTCAGTTTGAGCATATTTGAGTCCATCCATCGCTTTATGTCATCAATGCAGATATCCATGTTTAGAAGATTCGACTGAGAGTGTAGCGGCACGAAACATCTTCATTAGTTGCGTGTCATCTGCATACAAGTGATGACCTACCTCATTGACAGATATCAGCTGACCTAACTTCATGAAAATTGTGTTGAGACATCTACAGCTTGACTGTCTGTCATGATTTACACATGGCACCAGTCTTGTGACAGAATCGTATGAAGTCCACCTCTATGTCAACAGACTTCTTCTTATGAAACTTGAGCGTGTTAACAAGGTCGAATCTGAGCTCGGCTACCACCTCCATATCTACGTTCCAGTCACTTGCCTTCTTTGTGATGTGCTGGTGACAAAAGACAGAATACTTGCACCAGACATCTATAAACAAGTGCAACACAAGAGTACAGTATCTGCTATTAACGACTGATGCAATAGTCTAGTTGGGCAACATGGGTGGCTGATGTGAAGAAAATACTCACCTCCCTTGTTGAAGTCTTGTGCAGGGAGTAGACAGCGTTGGAGGACAGGTCAAGACCAGCTCTCAGGAACTCCATATCAATACCTGGAACAGGAGTGAGTGAGTGAGTGAGGGAGGCAGGGATTGAGTGAGTGAGTCAGGGAGGGAGGCAGGGATTGAGTGAGTGAGTGGGAGTAAGGAGGGAGGGTGGAGGGAGTGAGTGGGAGGGAGGGAGGAGCAAGAACACTCCCACTTTTCTCCTGTTTTCAATCAACTGTTCAATCAATTTCATTGTGTCACATACTGAACGAAAAATGATAGGAATCAGGAATATCTTGAGGGATATGTTTTGTAGTGAAGACACAATTTCATTACCATATCCCAAAATATACTTGGCAGCATTAAAAACGCAATACAAATTCCAAAAAAAGATATTTAATACAACTCGACATTGAACACAGCACATGATATGTAAAATGATAAAGTTATCCTTTGTGAACAAAACAAAATTCAAATGGTACAGAAGATAAGTGTCTTTATGACGTCATATCACTGCAAACAAGCAGGGGGTCACAGATTTTCAGTATTCTGTGTGTCTGCCTTGAGTCCTGATGAGAGCCCGCACTCTGCTGCGCATATACGTGCACAGACAAGCATTGCACCTCTGTGGACATAACGCCACCATGGGACCTCTGCTGTCAGTTCTGCAATGGTAATGGGTGGGTTTGGAAGGGCTCGAACTCAGCGACTGAGCTCACCCCACAAATGCTCGATGGGGTTCATGTTCGGAGATCGAGATGGCCAATTCATCACTGGTTGTTTTTTAGGAAAGCCCGGGTGAACCTTGCTGTATGGGGGCGGGCGGGCGTTATCGTATTGAAAGATGAGCTGACCGTGGCCATTTTCCGCCGCCATCAGCGGAAGCAACGTTGGCCGAAGAAAGTTGTCAATGTACCCCTGGGTCCATGGATTACAATCAAGGATGATCTGAAGTTAACTTAGGGCTCCCCATACCATGACGCCTACGCCAGCAATTCGGTCCACTTCACCAATGCAGTTCGGCGTCAGTCTTTCACCTTGGCGTCGATAGGTTCGACGTCTTCCATCGTTGAAGCTTAAGTTGAATCTCGATTCGTCTGAGAAAATGACATTTCCCCATGGAGTGTTGCCCAAGTACCCCTGTTCTGGGCCCAGTTGAGTCTGTCGCGGCGGTGACGTGGCGTCAGGATCTGACCGATGTATGGGCGCGTAGACCGTGACCAGCAAAATGCCTACGGACGGTACGTGCGCTGATCCTTCTCTGTCTTGTCCCTATGGCTGTTTGTGCTGTTGGTGCAGCCGTCTGAAATCGTTTCCGGAGGTGCTGGAGGCGAATGTTTCGATCCTGACGTAACGTCGTTACACGTGGCGCACCTGGACGTGGACGGTCAGCAACGTTTCCTGTTGTGTTGAATCGGTTTCAAAGTCTGGATATGGTCGATGGATGGACATTAAAGTGCCTGGCAACTGCTCCTCCTGTCCCCTCTGCACTCAGCATCCCAATGGCCTGGTTCCTCTGATTGGGACAAGTGATGGGGAGCAAGGAGTGGATGATTTTATAGGGCCAAGGTATGGGGATTGCACATGCACTCCATGCATTTCAGGAATCTGTTGTGTTTGGGCGATTTGTTTCAGTTGGTGATTTTATGCTTATGCAAGGACAGTATCTTTCAGAGTTTGGATTCGACTTCAAAACACTGACCGTCACGTTGCCAAGTTATTTGACAAACTTGTGTGATTGTATCAATTTACTGTCGACGACACAATTCTAATTCTATATAATAAAAAAAATAGGTATTGCGGTTTTTAATGCAGCCAAGTATATATTAATGATCCCTAATTTTTTTCAGTATTTGTATTTCTCAACCAGAACACAAATAAAGACACTGCAACATGCATTTATTTTCTGTAAAGTTTATTGCAGTGTTCAGGTAATAGGGTATAGCCCTACCTGCATTGTGCTTGGTCCCAAATGGTGGGTTCATGATGACCGTGTCAAACTTCTTGTGTATAACACTTGTGATAAGTTAATACTCCATCAACTTCCTCACCTATCCCAAACCAAGCATCACAACTGCCAGACTCACTCTGCATCACAACTGCTTCACTGCTGCACTCCTCTGCACTTCTGCCCTGCATCACAACTGCCTCACTCACAACTGCACCCTGCATCACAACTGCCTCACAACTGCTCTACCTCACTGCACTCCCTCACTGCACCTGCATCACAACTGCCTCACTCACTCTGCACCCCTCACAACTGCCCTGCACTCACTCTGCACCCTGCATCACAACTGCCTCACTCACTCTGCACCCTGCATCACAACTGCCTCACTCACTCTGCACCCTGCATCACAGCTGCCTCACTCACTCTGCACCCTGCATCACAACTGCCTCACTCACTCTGCACCCTGCATCACAACTGCCTCACTCACTCTGCACCCTGCATCACAACTGCCTCACTCACTCTGCACCCTGCATCACAACTGCCTCACTCACTCTGCACCCTGCATCACAACTGCCTCACTCACTCTGCACCCTGCATCACAACTGCCTCCACTCACTCTGCACCCTGCATCACAACTGCCTCACTCACTCTGCACCCTGCATCACAACTGCCTCACTCACTCTGCACCCTGCATCACAACTGCCTCACCACTCTGCCCTGCATCACTGCCTCTCGATCCTCTCTGCATCCTGGCTGCCTCACTCCACTCTGCAACCTGCATCACAACTGCCTCACTCACTCTGCACCCTGCATCACAACTGCCTCACTCACTCTGCACCCTGCATCACAACTGCCTCACTCACTCTGCACCCTGCATTACAACTGCCTCACTCACTCTGCACCACACACGACAGGTGTATCACTCAACCTTCAATCAATATGATCACTACCTCACTCACCCTGCTCCAAGCATGCCTCACTCACCCTGCTCCGAGCATGACAGATGCCTCACTCACCCTGCTTCAAGCATGACAGTTGCCTCACTCTGCCTGCTCCGAGCATGACAGACTGCCTCACTCATCCTGCTCCACCCTGCATGACAGTTGCCTCATTCACCCTGCTCCAACCACTCTGCAACCTGCATGACAGTTGCCTCACTCACTCTGCTCCAAGCATGACAGTCAGTTGCCTCACTCACCCTGCTCCGAGCATGACAGTTGCCTCACTCACCCTGCTCCAAGCATGACAGTTGCCTCACTCACCCTGCTCCAAGCATGACAGTTGCCTCACTCACCCTGATCCAAGCATGACCCAGATGCAACCTCATCCTCTGCCTCACCCTGCTCCAAGCATGACAGACTGCCTCACTCACCCTGCTCCGAGCATGACAGTTGCCTCACTCATCCTGCTCCGTGCATGACAGTTGCCTCATTCACCCTGCTCCGTGCATGACAGTTGTCACACTCACCCTGCTCCAAGCATGACATGTCAGTTGCCTCACTCACCCTGCTCCGAGCATGACAGTTGCCTCACTCACCCTGCTCCAAGCATGACAGTTGCCTCACCCACCCTGCTCCGAGCATGACAGATGCCTCACTCACCCTGATCCGAGCATGACAGTTGCCACACTCACCCTGCTCCGAGCATGACATGACAGTTGCCTCACTCACCCTGCTCCGAGCATGACATGACAGTTGCCACACTCACCCTGCTCCAAGCATGACATGACAGTTGCCTCACTCACCCTGCCCCGAGCATGATGGCCCCAATGCTGAGTACACCGCAGCCTACTCCCAGGTCAGCTATCAGCTTGTCCTCAATGTCATCATACCGAGTGTGGATGGTATGCAGCATACAACCTGTACATATCAGCAGTAATGTTACTGGCACGTCCCAAACGCTGATGCATCATGTCATGTCTCTTTTCCTATTGATATGAAAATCATCTTTCCACAATCAGTAGCAGGGGGTCAAATTTCTTCAGAAAGCCAAGATTGTGAAGGCAAAGTCAAAAAGATTGGCCGCACTCAGCAATATTATAGCCATATGGTGCTGGTCTGTAAATAATCAAGTCTGGACCAGACAATCCAGTGATCAACATCATGAGCATCGATCTACGCAATTTGGATAAAGTGACAAGTCTGACTACCTGATCCCGTTAGTCGCCTCTTACAACAAGCATGGGTTACTGAAGACCAATTCTAACCCAGATCTTCACGGGTCTTTCACAAAAATAATATCCTTGAGACAGAAATAAATGTTCTCTTACAAATGTGGTTGAATGATACTTTAAACACTACATTTAAGTGCTATAGATCCAGCAGAAAGCCCAAAGTGATGCAGCTCTACATCTTCTGTTGAACCCGTGACGTGGGTATAGTGATAAGAAGCCAGGATTCAAACCAGTGATCACATGTGCCAATGCTATGCAATAGACATTCTGCCTGGCCCATCATCAAGGAAATAATCAAAGATTATATATTCAAGGTATATATAATATCTGTTAAAACCACTACAAAAAGTGAACTGGGTGGTGTCAACATCAGTAAAGGGGACAAACTTCTTGATTACGATTGCTTATCTGCAGTGTGATCTGTGTCACTGAAATTTGTATTATGTCTGGTGCGAGGATATTGGTAGCGTGATCTGAGTACCTGCAATATGTGGGGTGGTGGGATACTGCTCCAGCACAACTTTGGGTTTTTCAAACACGTCAACATCCTGTAGGTGGCTCTCCAACTCCTTAAGTTTCATCTTGGTACGAGGCATGGCGGACTGAAACACAGCGATGATTGCTTCGTGATAATACTCAAAGACCAAAGTTATCATGACACACAAACACAATGTAATGTAGTGAGTGTTGAGTTAAGGTATGGTAGCAATCAACAGAACACCTGACATGTGCAAATGAGCCACAACACAAGAGTTGTTTCACAAGCAAGTTCACACAGTCAGTAACAAGTGTGTCCACCTTGTGCATTGATGCAAGCCTGGCTCCATCGCATCATTGAGGCCAACTGAGGCCATTAACGTAAATGAAAGTCCTCGGGAAGATCATTCCATATCGGATTAAGGATTTTGGCACAGTTCATGCATGATTGTTAAAAGTGTTACGATGATGTCATAAACTTCATTCCATTTCATCCAAGATGTGTTCAGTGGGTGCAAATCAGAGTATCAGCAGGAAACGTGACTCATCAGCCTTTTTTCCGCTCACTCTCTCCATTGTGTTGTCTGCACCACTTAAACAGGGGTTCAAAAATCCCATCGCCTGACGCAAGTCAGTTTTTATTTCGGGCAATCAAATAATGGTATCTTACTTGTCCGTGGGCTACTAGATAATTTCCACTTATGGTTTCAAACTGCAAATAAACATTGATTTAATTTCATATCTGCTCAAAATGTAGCTATTAAATTTTGCAATGATAATAAAGTAGAGTTATCTTTCTTTGCTATTTATCACTTTTCAATAAATAGTCCAGTAACCCCAGCTTGACATTAACATCAAATACCATGTTGATTTCTTCTTTCATAATTACATCATCATAATTATGTCATAAAATCAGGGCAAGTGGAAAATTAGTCAGGACAAGTTACTTTCTTAAAGTGACTGGCCCTGTGGCAAGTGGCGTTTTATAAAAAATTGAACCCCTGCACTAAGGACAACAACGTTGATGTTCTCTCATCAGAATTGGCCTTTGGGCTGGGCATCTTGCACGGATGCCGCAGTCGCATACATGTTGAATTGTTCTCGCAGATGCACCTCAGTTGCTAGGTATGGTACAAGCTGTAAGAGTAGTTGGCTGGAACCTGTGTCAGAGGTGCCTGGTCCGAATTCAATGGTCTTGACACTGGGCCATTACTGATGCTCAACTACAGGGATGGTCAATAACTTATTTTGCTGAAAATGTTGTTGTAAGGGCCAAATGATGTTTCTATTGTTGTTGAATTGAAAAGCAGCAGCATCCTGCAAGGTACCAGACTGAAGCATACCAATAGGATTCCATCTGTCTATGAATAGAGGTGTTTTTCTGACTTCTTAAAACAGCATTATGTGAGATTGATCAGCATCTTAAAGTTAAGCTTAAAGTGGATACTGCTGGCCATTTCTCTCAATCATGTCATCCTTCTTGCAAATTTTATTCATATCTGCTACCATTTCTAGTCTGATTCAAATCCAAACATTCATTTGCAAGATTGCAAGATTGCCAAGGAAAGAATTCCATGTCACAAACATTTGCCTCAAAGTAGATCAAGGGGGTTATAAGAGGCTGGCACGTATATAACCACCACCCAACTAGAACTACATGTACATGACATGACCTAGATTTATAGCCAATGTAATATCTAAAATAATCACATCATTAGACGGGAGGAATGGCAAAATGGAACTATCATCTCATGTCAGTGGTAGAACAAATGCTTTGACTCTGCATACCAGTAACATTTTTCAAATTCAAGTATTCTGAAGGTGGTGGTGGAATTGGGTTTAACGTCGTGCTTGAGAATATTTCGCTCATATGACGACGTGCATGCGTGTGTATGTGTATGTGTGGCTGCTTGTACTAGCCCAGACTGAAGCTGGTTTTATAGTGCTAGCCCACTGAGATACCATGCCGCAGTGAAGCAGAAATACCCCTCTCAGACACATTATACTGACTCCGAGCCGACCAGTCCTTGTTGTACCCATTAATGCCGAGCGCCAGACAGGGACCAACAAGTACCATATTTTAACGTCTTTTGGTATGACGCGGTCGGGGATCGAACCCGCGACCTTCCGCTCTCCGGGGCGGACGCTCTAACCACTACATCATAGAGGCGGTCAGTATTCTGAAGGACAACAATAGTCACACGTGTTATGACGTAATAAACCGTTTACTTGGGGACAACATACGGGGTTGGTTATCATAACTATTATTGTGGATAGGTGTTATAAATTATATCAACTAGTGGTGGTCTGATTAATTGAAATAATCGAAGATTGGTCGCAATGACTAAACGACCAAGCAATCGATCATGTTTTCTCATAATCAAACACAAACAATTTTGGAACCCTTATTTTGCTTTAACAATATTTTTAACAAGGTTGGTTTTGTCTGTTACATTTCATAAGCACAACCAGCTCGTTCCAAGCCAGGATTGAATTTATCTTCAAGACTCCAGGAGCTTTAGGTTCCTAACATATTAGTCATGCTTTAATTAAGATGTTAAATTTGCAAATGTTTTGCAATTTGCTAAAAAAATCGAAAGAACAAACATAATCAGGAAAATTTGATAAATGACGCTAACCAATTATTTTCGATGATCGATCGGTTGTGATGAACCAATCATCAATTATGAGATTTCAACAACTTCCCAACACTAATATCAACCATCTACACAAATCACACCTTGCTGTTTTCCAGCTTTAGTGAGATGGTCAGCTAAGGCCGCGTCGGGTGTGATTACTCACTGTGAATCCATTGACACGTGTTCACACCAAAACAGTAGATAGGGTACCGTATAACAGGGTTCGATATAACATTAATTTTACAGCTCAAAGTCGTGAAGGGTTTCTAACAGCGACTCAAAACATGACCACATCAATACAGCTCAAACTGAGTAGTCGCCATTTCGACCGTGTTTTAACGGATGATTTCGTTCCGAGAACATTTATTGGAACGAGAATTATTTATCTGTGTGATTTACTTGATATCTGACGAGATTATTTCTTCGAACCTCTGTCTCGAAGATACCATTAGTGTAAATTGTTGTGTGAATCGTTTACTGTAACTATTGTTATTTCTGTACAGTATATAATGCTAGAACACTGTTCCTGAAACGCACCTCTTCGAACAGAGTTGTGTATCCTCGCAAATACAGTCGGTGCACAACATACTAAGTGATAATTAGTGTGTTATTACATATTTTGCAAAATATTGTAAAATCCATAAAATACACCTCCTCAACACATCCGAATATCTTTTTAATACTGGGTAAGACCTCCATTTGATTGTAAATTGATATTTATTACTACAACCACATTTCTAATTAATGTTATCACCGGGTATACCCTTGTAAATACGATTCAGCTACGACTTCCGGTTCTTTCCCACGCTTGTTTTGGAAAAGCCGGTCTATCTTCAAAAACTCATGTAAGTTTGGTGTAGTTGTTAAAACATCGTTTAAATTACTTCCATAGTATTCCCATATGTATCTGTTCCTTATTCTATTCGAATTCACCGTTGATCATGTTTCATATTTTATTCTGAACAAAGAAATATAAGTATGTGCGGTTTTCGATCTACCAAGCAAATGAATTGAACTGGCTCAGTGTTGTTTTGTTTTCAGATTCTATAAAACGTTAGTCCGAAGTAGATTGATTTCTCCCACCCTTGTGTTGTTTCTCTACATAACTACTTCTTGAAACTATAAACCTCAAAGAATTATCTTTGGAATTTGAACAGGATAAACATTTATTTTATGCCAACCACTGAAACTAGTGAAAGTAGTAAATGCCGCAGGACATTTACTTATGTGGAACATGTAGGGGTAACTGCCGACTTGATCTAGTCTCTTGAATAATTACACCACAGTCTGTTGGTCTCGAACCTCAATTTGAGAACCTGGTAACTCCAAACCTTAGTGCAATATGTATTTGCTTTCTTGGGTATTCATGTCATGTAAACAGCATTGCACAAAGGATAACACTCTGGAAAAAATAGTTTGTTAATCAGACATTTCAGGACATTTCTAAATCTTGAAGTATATAAATGGTTTCAATATGTGTCATAACCAATACCAGTGTCAACCAATTTATGCTTTGTTGAGTAATGCTGTTTAGCAGCACAAATTTGATTAAGAGAAATATATTTTTGTCTGAAATGAAATTAGATAATTTTAGAAATGTAATTGTCTTGGCGATATTTTGACCTACAGATTGTTTTCTTTCACACTTGGCATTTGGCTCCTGTCTGTGGTTGAGAAAGTGTGTGTCCAGCAAATTCAGTGGCTTAAATGTTTTTGGCTGCCAAGATAATATTGGTAGGTGCCAGGCAGCCACCATGGAAAAAATCAAATGTTGAAGTCTGACTGACAGGGACACATTCCCACTACTACTCAATATCTCTGACCTCTTTATTTTGCTAACATGTTCATTCCTCAGTAAATCAGTTGTTTCAGCTTCTGTGAGATATCTCCAAGATGGATGCAGATTTGTATGATGAGTTTGGCAACTACATTGGCCCTGAACTGGACAGTGATGATGATGACGATGATGATGAAGATGATCGTGATGATGAGGAATACATGGACAGAGATGTGAGTGAAGGATAAGATAAGGATATTATGAACATCAGTAACACTATTCCCTGATAATGTTGAAACTAACATGCCTTGAGCATGCACTATTGCGTGGATATGTGCGCTATATAAATATCCAATGATAACAAAAATACAAACAAAATACAACATATTATTATGAATGGACAGTATTTGTGAAAAGTTGATCATGTGAGAAAAGTTTGTCATGTTAACACCTATGAAAGTATATTGAGTTAAAGCTTTTCATTGATATTGTTGAAATTTTGAAGACAGACTTTAAAAATTATTCCAATCTTGAAAAATGTGAATGTTGATCCAAGTTGTCAATTTGTCCGAATTTACCTGTGAATGTCTGAAATGTATTAGAGGCCAAAATGGTGATGTTGATTGTTATTTGGCCAGGATGATGATGACGGAGATCATGATGACATGGATGACCAGCCAGAGATGTCCGTAGTGCTGCATGAGGACAAAAAGTACTACCCCACAGCGGAGGAGGTGTATGGGCCGGACGTGGAGGTGGGTGCGACTAGCTGTGATAACAGGAGGGCCAGAAATAAATATCCATGTTTTAGTGTGGGAGTCACTGGGGTGCCAGGGAAGCAGTGGGGTAGCCTAGTGGTTAAAGTGTTTGCTTATCACACCACAGACCCGGATTTGATTCCCCACATGGGTAATATGTAGGGCTGCAACAAATACACTATGTGGCGTGTATCATGAATATTGGGTAACGAATACGAATCATTATTCACGAATACAAAATTGTAGTTAAGTGATTGATGTACAATATGGAACGCCCATGTTGACAGTTTTGATTTGTAACAGCAATAACCAGTGATCTCATGACACTCAAATTTGGTATGTAATAGTTATAGTCGACAGTACCATGTGCGGCCTTGGCAAACTGACATGACTTGCACTACTGCAATGCTAGTACATATTCTTGCATATCTCACTTTCCAAAAGTACACAAGGGTTCAAGAGTAAAACATGCTCCCTTAAAAAAAAATCATAAATATTCGTTAATATTCGGTTCTGGTGACCACGAATAACGAATTGAATTCATGAAGGGCTACGGTTCGATTCACCGAATATGCGAGTGAATCGTTACACCTTAGTAATATGTGAAACCCTTTTCTGGTTTCCCCCACTGTGATATTGCTGGAATATTGATAAAAGCGACGTAAAATGCTACTCAGGTACTCCGGGCTGGTGGACACAGGGGTGGGTGGGTCGTGGGGGTTGGGTGGTCCCTGGGGATGGGTAGGACCAGGCACCCATAGGACTACAGGTACCTGTGTTTAGACACATATATTTTTTTAAAACACTACAATAAAACTCCATGTTTACATAACAGACTGCTCATGTTCACATTTCTTTCTGACTAAACACACTTTTCTTCTGACTTATGCATGTTTGAGTTAAGACAAGGCTTCAATCAATTTCAGCATTTACATGAGCCAAACGTTTTATGCTTGTTCCTAAGTGTGTTTTTCAAAGGGTTCCAGTAAAACATTACCATTGAGACATTTTGTGTCCAACTCAGGGGTTCAAAAATCCCATCGCCCGACGCCCGGGACAAGTCAGTTTTCATTTCGGGCAATCAGATAATAGTATCTTACTTGTCTGTGGGCTACTAGATAATTTCCACTTATGGTTTCAAACTGAAAATAAACTTTGATTTAATTTCATATCTGCTCAAAATGTAGCTATTAAATTTCGCAATGATGATAAAGTAGAGTTATCTTTCTTTGCTGTTTATCACTTTTCAATAAATAATCCAGTAAACATTAACATCAAATACCATGTTGATTTCTTCTTTCATAATTACATCATCATGATTATGTCATAAAATCAGGGCAAGTGGAAAATTAGTCAGGGCAAGTTACTTTCTTAATACTTTTTTTAACCCCTGCAACTCCTCAAACCTCGACTGATAGGGGCTGGGTACCAGGAATCGGGTGTTTCAACTTTCAAAACTAAACATAACCTGTAGCTAAATACTATTCATCCCAAATTGTGTTATGTATGACAAAGGTCTCTTCACCTCTTTGTGTCTGGGCGGTGAGGTAGCCTAGTGGTTAAAGCGTTCGCCCATTTCTGGTGTCCCCCGCCGTGATATTGCTGGAATATTGCTAAAAGCAGCGTAAAACCCAAGTCACTCACTCACCCTTTCTGTCTGACAAAATGTCTGATATTGTCTCTGTTGGCAGACTATTGTACAAGAAGAGGACACACAACCTTTAACAGAACCTATCATTGCTCCGGTGAAGAAGAAAAAGTTTTCCATGGCTGAGCAAGATCTTCCAGAAACTACTTACAATATGGAGTAAGTCTAGGAATGGATTTGTGTGAAGTATTTTTTATAACCCGATAGTTTGAGTGTGATGAAAGTTCTTGCCCAATCCAAACTTAGAATACATGTGATAAGTCAGAATGTAGACATTTCTTTGACTGGTATATTTTATGTTCAGGAAAGTATGTTTTCCTATCACATTTTATATCATCGGTTCCCAATTGCTCAGATCGATGCTCATGCTGTTGATCACTGGATTGTCTGGTCCAGACTCGATTATTTACAGACCGCCGCCATATAGCTGGGATATTGCTGAGTGCGGCGTAAAACTAAACTCACTCACTCACTTTTTTATTTCTGTGACTACTGTCTGCTCCATGAACAGATGATTCTTTTTCAGAAGGAGTCCTCCTTGGGGTACATATATGCGTTAAAATGTCCATTTTAAATCCTACGACAGTTGTAACTATATTTTTCAATAAAATATTTACAAAACAAAAAACTCGTTTTGTCTTTTGAGACCACCCCTTCAGGGCCCCACCAGACCCCCTACAGCCAAGAGTAGGTAACTCTCGCCATCTACCTCATACCTCACTTTTCATGCTGTCGTTCTGTTGAATAGACGTGCGTGGTGTTCGTGTTGAGTTTGCTCTCCTACCGATACGATGAGTGTAAAAGAGTCTCAATCGGTATGTATGGTTCCTTTCTTTACGGACTTCATATGTTGATATTGTCATTCATCTTTTGTTTTAACTTTGCCGTGGGTTCTCTGTTTTCCAGCCTCTCTTGACGTCGAAGTCACAACCTGCACATTAATGTGCTGGAATTGACAGCAGTCAGGTTGGTGTTCGATCCTGCACGCCAGGATTCGAATTACATTTTCGACCAGACATTCTCACTCTGAACAGGGCGCCACACCCGAATCCTCGGATTCATTGGGGGCTTGGTCTCTGTCGGATCTAACCCCCAGACATGCGGAATTCCTGCAGCTGTTGCAGACACAATTCTGGCTTCGAGGCGGGATTCGACACCCGTTCAGTGTGTTGATAGGTGGGGCGCGCTTGTGTGCAGATAAGGGGATTCCATAATCCCTTTCTCTGCGGATTTAGTTTGGATATTGGAGTTACTATAACCTCGTTTTGGTTGAGAACCTTATGACCTCCACCATTCCCGGGTACTCCATGGCTATTTCCACGTTTCACACCTCGTTCGATGGTGCCCTGCCTAGGCAGCACACTCTCGTACATCGCTTCGAAGCTGGCATGAACAGGGTTCGACCGTCTCGGCAGCGACCCAGCCCACCTTGAAGTTGCCAATTATTCTCAATTGGCTGTCTGGCCCTGAGTTTTCAAGTATATCGTCTCTTTCACTTCACTTGTTGACATGGAAGACGGCTTTACTTGTGGTAGTGAGCTCTGGTAGAAGGGTCGGGTACATCCATGCGATACCCACTGACCCGACACTGACAGTATTTTATACTGATCATGTCCGTATTCGCCTCCCGGATACCTACCACTCTCAGTTCGATATTGCTTTCCACGTGACTGCTCATGCCGAACTTCCACCCCTTACCCAACCTTCCACACCGGGGACCGATCTTTCGATTGCTCACCAGTTGGAGTGACTATAACGAATAAACAAATGGGATCCATACGGGTACCCATGTGTTCTGTTTGGTGGCGGGAAGACTGGGGAGACTGCTAACAAGCGGACTTTATCTCATTGGCTTATTTCCGTAATTGTTCGGTTACAATGCTATGGTTTACCTTCCCCCGAGGGGTTGAAGAAGGTAGACTGGGTAGGGCAGATGCCGCTTTGTTGGCAATACACAACGGCACTGCTCAATGAAGAGATCGGTTCTGTCGCTCTTTTGAGCCAGCAAAACGCCTTCATTCACCATTACCGACTTGACATGCATTCTGAGGATCGTGCTCGGTTCAGTCTTTCGGTTCTCTCCAGTGGAGAGTGTCCTGCCACCCTGACCAAGTTAGTAACTGGTCATTGGTATCGGTTCTGTGTTCAATGTCGATATGGTTCATATCACTACATCGTATAAGCCTTACCACCCATTCGGGTTGGGTCGGGTTTGGGTGTACATACATCCCATTCACTTAAAGGCAAGAGAGGGCGGGGCCGGTTTTGAACACTATAACCAGTCATATGCTATTAACCCGTCTTGCGACAGAATTGGGTTCGAACACCCTACGGGTCACTGTTTGGTATGCCTCTCTTCGAGCCGCATGTCACACACATGACCAGGTTAGTGTAATAGTGAGCCAACACATGTTCGGCTATGCTTTTAGCTTCTTTTTTTTGTACGCTAACAGTTTTTTTCCTTTTCCCGAGACTTCGGTTTTTGGGAGTCTGTGTTAATCAGCACTTTGGGTGATGGTGGTTACACTTACCCTCCTGACGCTGAGAGCGTTTGGTGGGGGTGTTTTATCCTGCTTTTCACTCGTACAATGCATGGCGTTGGTACTCGTTCTATTTCCTCAGAAAGTTTTTAGTGAGGCTAATAATTTCTCTGGGTTTTATCGAGGTCCTGTCAAGCCTTCTTCCAAACAGGAGGGGTGCATTCGAGCATTAGTTTGCAGTACTTATTAGCTCAACTCCTAGGTTCTTGGCTTTTAAGCGTTTTTTACGCTTTCCCTACCCTTATCCTCTCGCCACGCTTCTCTGGTTCGGGATATTAAGGTTGGAAGTTGTTTCGGCATGTCCCCATACATTCCTTTCCATTGTAATGGTTGGGGGTGGGGTTTTATGTCATAATTGATTTGAGCCAATTGACATATAAGCTTGGGCTCTCTATTTCCCGCCCTAGCCACGCCCCAGCCTGATTGACATCAGAGGTCAGGTGGCTTGGTAAGTGTGTTTTTTCTATTTCCGTATCGGTTGTAGATTTCACTCCACCACGGGTTTAGTTGTTGCCAGACAGAATGCCACTCCCGTCTCAAATATCTTTGGGAGTCTGTCTTATGCTTATATGTACCCCAAGGAGGACTTCTTCTGTGAAAAAGAATTATACAAACCTGTAGAGGTTATGAATTCTTTGAATTCTGCCTGATACGTTCAGCACGAAAAGTGAGGTACGAGGTAGACGGCGAGAGTTACCTGCTCTTGGCTGAAGGGGGCCCGGTTGGGCCCTGAAGGGGTGGTCTCACAGGACAAAACGAGTTTTTGTCTGTAAATATTTTATTGAAAAATATAGTTACAACTGTCATAGGATTTAAAATGGACATTTTAACGCATATATGTACCCCAAGGAGTACTTTCTTCAAAGAATTCATAACCTCTACAGGTTTGTATAAATTATCGGCCTCCATCGTAATCTTTGCAAGATAACTTGTTTTTATATGTTCTTGTCCCATTCTTCATGTTGAGCATCGTTGTAGATTTCTGGCTGATTTGATGGACTCTCCAGAACTGATACGAAATGTCACACTTTGTGGACACCTCCATCATGGCAAGGTAAGCAAGCTACTTCAGCTCATGTTGTCTTGGAGCCGTTTACGCTTCATTTTTCTAAGAATATCTTGTTCCTTGTCTTCTTTTAAAGAAGGGACAGAGTGGTAGCCTAGTGGTGAAAGCGTTCACTTGTCACGCCGAATACCCAGGTTCAATTCCCATGTTTACAATGTGTGAAGCCCATATCTGGTGTTACCCACCGTGGTTTTGCTGGAATATTTCTAAAAGTAGCATCAAACCCAACTCAACCAATCTTTTAAAGAAAATACTGTAAACATACTTTTTTCGCTTGGTGCAAATTTCGCGGAATTGACAGTTTAGACTGCATCGCGCGGTCAATTATTCGCGCAATCAGTAATTGCCGGAACTGCCAGCTGTCGCTTAGGCCGCCTCTAATAGCAATGAAAACAACCAGAGTGGCTTAACCTGTCAGGCTTTAATGAATAAATAAAATACTGCTGTATTATTTCTTTCCGAGTCGTTTCATGGTAATCCGTTTTGTATCGAACCATCTGTCACTACGATTGGTCAAAATAGAACATGTCGGGACATGATTTGGGAAATCAATTACAGCGACAGTTACGTATGATTCTTTATGCTACTATCAGTCGTGAATGAATGAAAGGTTTATTCGTTGTGTATAAATTTTCGCAGTAAAATATTTTGCACGAAAATAAAACCTGCGTGATATATAATACGTTTACAGTATTAATACAAATTTATACACATTTGATTTCAGAAAAGTGAAGAAGAATCTATAGTTTGTATTCTGAAAGTTCCTTCAAATGTATATTTCATTTATCCACTCACATGATGCAAACGGAACAAATATTGTTCCCTATACTTGTTGCAGTATATCTGTTTAAGTGATAAGTTTTTACAGTTTAGGTGTAAACTATCATCAGGTAATATGATGTCTTCTGTCTCCAGACATCGTTCGTGGACTGCCTCCTGGAGCAGACTCACCCCGACATCCAGGGCCGGGCAGACAAGGATGTAAGTTGTCTGGCTTCCAAGGCCATGCTGTTTTTAAAAATTGTTTTAGCGTAAGCTACCTAACAGCACTGATCGAAATTGGGTGGAAAATGTGTAAAAATATAAATCTGTTGATTTTAAGTAAAAATGTGATAAAGACATTTGCTGTATCTGTCAATAGAAATATTCAAGCTCTATGTGCTAGTGTTTAAAAGATCGAAACTGACCAGACAATCCAGTGACTGACATGCACATCAATGTACACAGTTGCCGAATTGGAGTATGATGACATGAATTGATCAAGTCAACAAGTCTGACCACCCAATCCTGTTATTTGACTCTTTCAACAAGTCTGACCACCCAATCCTGTTATTTGACTTTCAACAAGTCTGACCACCCAATCCTGTTATTTGACTCTTTCAACAAGCATGAACAAGTCCAACCTGAATCTTTATAAGTACAAGCAGACATTTAAACTAATCCATGTTTTTATCTTTTCCAGATGCGATACACTGACACTCTATTCACAGAACAGGAGGTATGGATGAGGCATATATATTATACAGTACTGCCTGTGCTTGTGTTTATTAATAAATTCCGTAAGGTCGACAGACCCTAAAATTCAGTAATGTATAACTTAACATTCCTGATATGTAAACACCTTTTAATTGTCATGAAAAAGAAGGGCGCTGGAGACTGGCATTCAAGTTTTTGGATCACAAGCTTTAAAATGTGTCACTGTGACCAATGTACTAACGGCAAATATAATACAAGATGTGTGTAGTGCATTTGTAGATTTCCTTGTTTGTTTGTGGTCAGGTAAATCTCTACACACAAGTAAGATTCTAAATGGTACAATAATAATGTGTTTGATTATCTCAGGCCTAAATATCTGGTCAGCTTTTACTGATTTTGGGGGGCGTCATTGCGAAATAGTGACTTTTCAAACCTTTGCAGTTCATATTATTCCATCATCCAACATCTGGGGCGGTGGGGTTGTCTAGTGGTTAAAGTGTTCATCATTCTGTCGAAAACCAAGGTTCAATTCCCCACATGGGTACAATGTGTGAAGCCCATTTCTGCTGTCCCCAGAATCATGATATTGCTGGAATATTGCTAAAAGCGGCGTAAAACTAAACACACGCACACACATCCAACATCTGTACAGTTTTGCGTCCAGTGTATGTAGGTCATGTTTATGATGACTGAAATATGAAATCTTCATGGATAATAACGTGTATAAATTCATGCAATGCTACAATCAAAATTTGTTTTTGTTATCAGCGAGGTGTAAGCATCAAGTCGACGCCCATCACTGTTGTGATGCAGGACACAAAGAACAAGTCGTACCTGGTCAACGTCTTCGACACGCCAGGTGTGTAAGGCTACCAACGTCATTGGTGTAGAATGTAGAGTTGAACATGTCGCATGGTGAACATAACATAAAAGTGGAGGTGGATAAATAAGACATCATACAGGGATATTTAGGTTATGCCTTGATTGATTATTAGCTCTGAAGTTGTAGTTTTTGTTTCAAGGGATTTGCATGAATTGTATTGAGAATTGATTCACCTGAAAGATGTAAATGTCATCACTTGACAGAATGTTGAATTATCTCATACTGATTGGTTGTTGAGTGTATCAAATGTTACTTTTTACTATGTACCAAGGAGACATTTTTTACCTCCAAGAATTTGTAAGTCGCTTCCAAGCTTGGGTAGAGAAGAAAGTGTCTATCTATATGGACATTGGTGCCAGTGTGGGTGGGAAAGTATGGGGTGGTATAGACTGACTGACTGAGTTTGGTTTTACGCCGCCGCTTTTAGCAATATTCCAGCAACATCACGGCGGGGGACACCAGAAATGGGCTTCACACATTGTACCCATGTGGGGATTCGAACCCGGGTCTTCGGCGTGACGAGCCAACGCTTTAACCATTAGGCTACCCCACCGCCCCGGGTGGTATAGAAGTCAGTATTGGGAGGTACAGTCAAATCCCGATTAGTCGAATGCCGGTGTCTTGAATATTATGCATAACTCGAAGTACCTGTCGGTCCCGACCATTCCCTGTTATAGTTGTCATCATTTGATTTCCGGTTACACGAATTCGTCTCATAAATACACACGATGACTCGAGAAGGAAATTTGGTCCCATGACATTCAAACAACAGCAATATTGTATACATAAGCCGAAGTCAGTCAATGAGAAGTTGATTGGTGTAGCAAACTGATCCAATTAACAAAAAAAAGCGTGGCTCACACCTTTCCGCCATTGACAGGTGAGTTCAAAAGGCAGATTAGTGATTTTACGGAAATCACTGTCTGTGCTAATCAGACTGGAACTGATAAGGTGCCCCTATTAGTGATAGGGAAATCATTAGGTAAACAAATGCTTAGGCAGAGGAATTAGGACTGGATCATCTTTTTTTCTACCCTAATAGACATACCTATGTCTCGAATACATCGATAAGTCGAATTAATTACTTGGTCCCCAGCGATTCGAATCATCGGGATTTGACTGTATGTGTGTGTGTTGGGGAGAGCGAGATCAGTATTGTCAAAAATGTTTTAGGACAGTATTAAGAGTTGTATGATCAGTATGAGAAGGTGAAGGTGTAAGCATTAGGAATTGCTTGTGTGTGGGGGTCAATATTAGCAGGTGGGGGCTGGTAATGGAGGGGGAAGGGTGTGCAGCACTGGAGGTGGGAATGAAGAGAGGATGAAGTTGTCCAAGTTTGTCTTTACATTATGTATGTAAGCGCCATGAGCAGGCAATATGCCTGGATATGAACACCATATAAGCGGACTATTACTATTACTATGACATTTCTCCTTTGTTTCCTTCAGGACATGTGAACTTCTCAGATGAGGCTACAGCTGCCATGAGGCTCAGTGATGGTGTCTGCATTTTTGTCGATGCTGCAGAAGGGGTGAGTTGATGTCACGGTTACTGCTTAGATGATGTCATGGTTACTGCTTAGATGATGTCCCAATAAATCTCTTTGAAATTACACTTTCGTCTTGAAATTAGCATGCTTGGTGTCTAAATGTTTGAATGAACCATGTGACTGAAGAGTCTATATCCAATCCCCAGGTGATGTTGAATACCGAGCGGCTTATCAAGCATGCTCTCCATGAAAAACTTGCCATCACCATCTGCATCAACAAGATTGACCGCGTCATTCTGGAGCTAAAACTGCCCCCAACTGATGCCTACTACAAGCTACGCAACATCCTGGATGAGATCAATGGTATCATTAGGTAGGAGAAATAGGAGAAACCCTCATAAGTGAGGCCTCAGTTAGGAGGGGATATGTATATTCAGTGTGTCAGAAGATTAAGATGCTAATGATGCAGAATGCTGTGGTGATTCTGGATGAGAGTGTAGGTCCCAAGCAGCCTATGCTTGTTATAAGCAGTGATCGAATGTGTTGACGGTCAGTCTCTGTGACCTGTACCCAGATATCATTGACTGAATGATCCAGTTAGAATTGGTCTTCAGCAACACATGCTTGTCATAAGAGGCGAGTAACGGATCGGGTGGTCTGACTTGCTTTCTTGGTTGACACATGTCATTGTATCTCATTTATGTAGATCGATGCTCGTGCTGTTGATCACTGAATTGTCTGGTCCAGACCCAATTATTTACAGACCGCTGCCATATAGCTGGAATATTGCTGAGAGTGGCTTTAAACAAGAAACAAACAATGAATGACTGGATTGTCTGTCGAGACTTGATTATTATGGTTGCAGTACTGCTGCGAGGCAAACAAACAGAACTTAAACCTTCCGTTTTCTAACCACGAGAGAAGCATAATGTGATAGCTTTATTAGATATATATTATAATTGCAATAGAAAGGTGTCTGTTGACCAGGGGCGGTGGGGTAGCCTAATGGTTAAAGCGTTGGCTCGTCACGCCGAAGACCGGGGTTCGAATCCCCACATGGGTACAATGTGTTAAGCCCATTTCTGGTGTCCCCCGCCGTGATGTTGCTGGAATATTGCTAAAAGCGTCGTAAAACCAAACTCAGTCAGTCTGTTGACCATTGGAGGCAGAAAATCTACCCCTTAATTGTTTAACTCTTTCAACACCAGTCAACCAGAGGCATTTACTGCCATGACACCAAGTTCCCAGAGACTCTGAGGTCATAGATGAAGCCTATGTTTATGAAGGAAATTATAAGCTTGTAAAACGTTATTGCTACTACATCCCATACACCATTTAAAAGATCTAATCCTACTGTTGATAAATATGAAGTTTATTTTTATAATATTATTCAAATAATACAACTACAACTTAAATAAAATTATTTTGAATGAAAATGCAAGCTTACATTTATAGCGTCCAGATAAACCATTTTAAAGAAGCAAAACTAATGATTTTTTCCATTTGTGACATGTCATAACATGCCCGTGCCTTTTTCTTTTATATTTTCACTTTTACGTAATCAGAAAAATTATTATAAAAGATTTCTTAAATAATATGTATGGTAAGCCTATTTCCCGATATCTGTGGCTTTCGGCACCGGTAACATGACATAACAACGGAAAATACCTCCGTTTTGAAGCTTCGTATGAATAACATGGGAGGCGAATCGTCTGATGTCGGTATCGTTAAAGCTCTGAACATCAACAACATCACTGAACCCTTGCCGAGTATATTTTCACAGTTGTAAGAAGCGATTTTATTGGATAAAAATTGGTTTCTAATGGCGCTTTTAAGCTACAGTCTGCTATAAGAGTCGTGATTGGTCAAAATCAGACACATTGACCTAAGGCAGCCAATCATATTACGACAATGGATACCGTCCTCGTGAAAACGAAAACTTTTAGATTTAGGCGAAAGTTTTGGGTAAAATAATGCTATTCTGAACATATTAAGCAAGAAATCGCTACATATACGTAAATTATGGGACTTATTGGACGTATCGTGCTAGGTTATGACCTGTGACAAAAATGCTTCATGCATATATTTTCGCATTAAACATCGTGTCCGAGCGTGAAGATTGAGGCGGCGAGAGCCGAGATGTCACTTGTCAGTGACTTGACTTGCATTACATGATCGCACAAAAAGATGGAAAAAGTAATTTTATATGTACGTTTGACAACTTTTATGAATGCTGTTGTTGATTTTATTCATTAGTTTATTCTATTTATTTAATCATTTCCTCGAAACATCGTTACTTTGCTCTTTGCGAAAAATAGTTTATAATTTTAATTCTGCCGATAATATATGATCAATTGAAATTTAATAAGTGTTTCCAGACATTGTGAAATGTGATGGATTTAATATATGAATCATAAGTCAGGTAAGTTCCTAAACTTATGTCTCATTTTGACGTGACTACTGCCTGGCCGCTAAAGCGGCCTCCGGTGTCTGGGGACTCATAACTTTGTGGCCGCTTAAGCGGCTTGCGGTGTTGAAAGGGTTAAATTATGTTTAATATGTATCAAATTCAAAATACATGAACCATTTTCAGGAACAGATGCTTAACCCTGAGTCATATTTTTGTCATCAAATATGTCAACACACAACACTGTTGCTGTTTATTAGGGCTGCGCAATACAACCGGTTTACCGGTATTTACCGGTTCAGACATGAAATCGATACATATTGCGATACCCGGATCGAAAACCGGTTTTTCAACATGCATTCGGAAAACTTCGTAACACTCAGAAATCTTCGGATATTTCCGTTTTTCACACCGGAAATCAAGTTAAGTTTCAAGTGTTTCGCAATGTTTTCGATCTGAATGTTATATATATATTTACTCATTACTGACCAGTGATCCCTGATATGACCTGACCAGGTCAAGTTGCTGTCTAAAATCTCAGGGCTTTTTTGAGAGTGGAGAAACTAGTTCAAACTAGTAACCACTGTGTTGATGTTAAATTGTTCTTTTCCTTGTTTCCTTCATTTTAACATGATTAAATTTTTTTTAAAGCTTAATCAAGCATAGTGATTTTGTTGTGTTTTTGCTTTATAAATCAAGCATTAACTCGATTATAAGAAATTTTATTATGAAAAAAATATTTTTGCAATATATTGCAATACGTATCGCAATATATGCTTTCAAATCGCAATATATTGTAATATGAAAATTCTCTGCAATACCCACCCCTACTGTTTATATATTGGCTATCAGTAGACATGAATGTGATATTTGATATGTTATTCATTGATGCTCACTCCACCACACAGCATGTACTCAGAGGAGGAGGATGGGCTGATGATCTCACCGCTGCTGGGCAACGTCTGCTTTGCCAGCTCGTACTACCGTTTCTGCTTCACACTCAAGTCCTTCGGCAAGATCTATGCCGACACATATGGTGAGTGCCCATTGAAAACGAATTGGGGAAAAATCATCTGGTGCTGATATATCTATAAACCTCTTCGTTTTGATTGGTCCTGTTATCAGAAAAATACAAATCACCTCTACAAACCATCACAGCAGTCATAGCTTCAGATCGATGCTCATGATGTCAATCACTGGATTGTCTGAACTACTCTCTGTGGTCTAAACAAGACATATTTAGTACTTGCCATGCCTTGATTCACATGTTTTCTGTATTCTATATTGACTTTTATGTTATTCATCATCAAATCGTCATTGATGTTGGGTGAAATTTGGTTAGCACCTATGATTTGTGTAAATACATGTGAGTGAATATGTGATGTTCTCTGGAAAGCCTGGGTGAGAATTAGCAGGTGTTGAGCATCCTATGCATGGATGGCATTGTTACTTGAAACACAATTTTCACTTCATCTCACTTATATTTGTACGTCTCTGTATTCCTGTGTCATCTCACTTATATGTGTACGTCTCTGTACCCTACTTCATCGAACTAATAATTGTACGTCTCTGTACCCTACTTCATCTCACTTATATTTGTATGTCACTGTATGTTTGTGCATCTCTATCTGACTTCTGTCGTCCTCACTTATATGTACGCTCTGTACCCTACTTCCATCTCTTATATGTCACTGCTCCTACTTATCATCACTTATGTTTGTGCTGTCTCTATCTCTCCATCTCACTTATCTCTATTTGTATGTCACTGCTCCTACTTATCTCACTTATGTTTGTGCATCCTATCTCTCTCTCGTCTCTATCGATCTCACTTATATTTGTATGTCACTGTCACTTATGTTTGTGCATCTCTATCTCCTACTATATCCTCACTTATGTCTCAATTATATTTGTGTTCTCTATCTCTCGCCGTCTCAATTATATTTGTATGTCACTGCTCTACTTATCTCCACTTATGTTATCTCCTACTTCATCTGTCTTATATTTCACTGTCTCTCCACTATCTCCCGTCTCACTTATATTTGTATGTCACTATATGTCCACTGTATTCTACTCATCTCACTTATGTTTGTGCATCTCTATCTCTACTCAATTATGTCACCGTCTCACTTATATTTGTGTGTCACTGCTCCTTACTTATCTCACTTATGTCTCAATTGATTATATTTGTTTGTCCTACATCTCTGTAGTGTCTCTTCCTACTTCATCTCACTTATATTTGTATGTCACGTCTCCTACTTATCTCACCTGTTATGCATCTCTACCTCTTATCTCACTATATTTGTATGTTGTTCTACTTATCTCACTCTATGTTTGTGTCTCTGTATTCCTACTTCATCTCCCTTATACCCTTATTATGTTGTGCACATCTCTGTATTCCTACTTCATCTCTCACTTATATGTTTGTATGTCTCTGTATTCCTACTTCATCTCACTTATGTTTGTGCGTCTCTGTATTCCTACTTCACCTCACTTATATGTCAATGCGTCTCTGTATTCCTACTTCATCTCACTTATGTTTGTATGCGTCTCTGTATCTCCTACACTCATCTCTCACTTATGTTTGTACGTCTCTGTATTCCTACTTCATCTATTTATATTTGTATGCGTCTCTGTATTCCTACTTCATCTCACTTATATGTGTGTTCGCCGTCTGTATTTTCCTACTTCATCTCACTTATATGTGTACGTCTCGGTATTCCTACTTCATCTCACTTATATTTGTACGTCTCGGTATTCCTACTTCATCTCACTTATGTTTGTCGTCTCTTGTATCTCTTATGTTTGTACTTCTGTCTCACTTATATTTGTACCGTGTCTGTCGCATTCCTACTTCATCTCACCTTATATTTGCTATCTCTGTATTCCTACTTCATCTCACTTATGTTTGTATGTCTCTGTACTTCCTCACTTGTATCGTCTCGGTATTCTTGTTTATATGTGCACGTCGTATCTCCTACTTATTCCTATTTGCACGTCCCGGTATTCTTTATTCCTTATGTTCCTGCTTGTATGTCTCTGTATCCTACTTTATCTCACTTATATGTGTACGTCTCGGTATTCCTACTTCATCTCACTTATATTTGTACGTCTCTGTATTCCTACTTTATCTCACTTATGTTTGTACGTCTCTGTATTCCTACTTCATCTCACTTATATTTGTACGTCTCTGTATTCCTACTTCATCTCACTTATATTTGTACGTCTCTGTATTCCTACTTCATCTCACTTATATTTATGTGTACGTCCCTGTATTCCTACTTCATCTCACTTGTATGTCACGCGATTATTCCTACTTCATCTCACTTTATTCTTGTTCTCGGTGTATTCTCACTTTATGTTTGTATGTCGCCTCTCATCTCACTTATATGTGTGCACATCTCCGGTATTACTACTTCATCTCACTTATACTTACTTTATCCTCACTTATATGTGTCACTTTATCCTCTCACTTATGTGCATCTCTCGGTTCCTACTTCATCTCACTTATATTTGTATCATCTCGGTATTCCTACTTTATCTCACTTATATTTGTATGTCTCTGTATTCCTACTTCATCTCACTTATCACTTATATTTATGCATCTCGGTATTCCTACTTTATCTCACTTGTGTCTGTGTCTACTTCATCTCTTATGTATGTCGGCATCTACTTCATATTCACTTATATATGTGCCCCGTATTCCTACTTTATCTCACTTATGTGTGTCCTACTTTATCTCCTTATGTAATGTCTCTGTATTCCTACTTTATCTCACTTATGTTTGTATGTCTCTGCACCCTCTCTTTATTCACTTATATGTGTACGCCTCGGTATTCCTACTTCATCTCACTTATGTTTGTATGTCTCTGTGCCTCATTCCTTCATCTCCTTATATGTTATGCGTCTCTTTATTCCTACTTCATCTCACTTATATTATATGTACGTCTCGGTATTCCTACTTCATCTCACTTATATTTGTACTTCATCTCACTTATATTTAATGCGTCTCGGTATTCCTACTTCATCTCACTTATATTTGTACGTCTCGGTATTCCTACTTCATCTCACTTATATTTATGCATACTTTATCTCACTTGAGTCTCGCACCCCTACTTTATCTCACTTATATACCAGGTGGCATCAATGAGAAGGGTTTGCGAAGACTGTATGGGGAGACATTTATTTCAACAGTAAAGCGTGCGGTAAGTTGCAAATCTCTACTACAACAGGTTATAAGTGTATCTGCAGCAGACAGGCTCGGTAAAAGTGGAGAGATTGGGTGGTCGGGCTTGCTGTTTTGGTTGACCTGTCATCGAATGTAATTTGTTTAAATGACAGGATGTTCATGACATCAGTCACTGGATTGTCTTGCCCAGACTTGATTATTTACAATAACTTGGATATTGCTGAGTGTAGTGTTAAACAAACAACTCCAATGATTGATATAGTATCAGTAGAGATACACATGCTTTGTATGGTGGAAGGATTGGTGCATATCTGTTTGGTTTTCCAGTTGCGTTATCGGGGAAAAGAATTGGTATATTTCTTGAAAGACAAAGTCTGCATATGCAGGTGCAGTTCTGTTGCTATGCCAGTCATCTTCATAGTGATGAACTTACTGATTTATTTACACAGGAGGAAGTTTACAAAGAAGCCAGCCCACAACACGTCCCAGAGAAGCTTTGTGGAGTTCATACTGGAACCCCTGTACAAGATATTTGCCCAGGTATGGAAGAATAATCACTGAAGAGAACTTTATCCCTTATCAGTAAATATGTTGGAAGTTAGCCATCACCCCTGTTAAAAGATGGCCTCACGGTCTGACATATTAATATCAGATTGAAGTTATATCATGTAACAAAGTCTCACAAAAGCGGTTTAAGATAAGGCTTTTAAGTAAAAAGTTCAAATGAATGGAATTGAAATTAGTATCAGACTTGGTTTTCTCCGTGGTGTAGTGGTTAGAGCGTCCGCCCGGAGAGCGGAAGGTTGTGGGTTCGATCCCCGACCGCGTCATAACAAAAGACGTTAAAATATGGTACATGTTGGTCCCAGCCTGGCGCTCGGCATTAATGGGTACAACAAGGACTGGTCGGCTCGGAGTCAGTATAATGTGTCTGATTAGGGTATTCATGCTTCACTGCGGCATGGTATCTCAGTGGGCTAGCACTATAAAACCAGCTTAAGTCTGGGCTAGTACAAGCAGCCGCATACACACACGCATGCACGTCGTCATATGAGCGAAATATTCTCAAGTACAGCGTAAAACCCAATTTCACCTCATCACCTCTTTGTCATTAAACATATCTTAGTATTATAAATCATTATGTGAGCCTCTGCATAGGATGGCATGCCATGGTTTGACTGAAATACTGTTACTTGACTCAGGAAAATACTGTTAAAATTAGTTACCGTATATGACCGTCTATAAGCCGAATTTTGAGGACCAAAAAAAGCAGTCTGTAGAAGGGGGTCGTCTTATCCATGGGTTAAGCTTTCGTCAAACTTTTTTCCAGGGGTAAGAAAACAACATCGTATCACTTCGCGTGAACAAACAACAGAAGACGACTTTGTCAGTAGAGATGTCAAATTTGCAATTAAACATCACTAGACAAGATTATTTACCTTTTAAGTTATAAGTTGTTTTTGCTGGGCATTGTATTATTTGCAGGGATTAAGATTACCATGTGTATCTGAGCCGGAAATAGCAATCAGCTGTGCACACGTTTCCCGGCGAACAAGTTCAAACATGCACAATAATATAACGGGACGAATTCTGACGCAATCATCAGTAAAATATGATACAGAATACCATTATTTTTCCTTATCCTGACTCATGCTCTTTTGCTTGTCCCCTTCCTCTTGCGAACATAGTGGAACACTTGTATCTCCTTAATTGAAGCTCCCTTCAATGTAAAATCACTAATTGGTACTCACCCACGAGTTACCTCCCCTGCCGTAAGGGCGGGAACAGGTGTCGCCACCCTCTGGCCTCATGCTTCACTCTCTCCTTCTTCGCCCAGTGAGCAGGATGTGAGAGAGCCTGTGTCTCCTTACACACTATATCCTTTGGTTTTTCTTAGTTAGTTACCTTTTATAGTTTACTATAAAGGTATAGCTAATATCCTTCAGTTATTTGCGTTAATAATTAATCATTATTTCTACTGTTTATTCGCGTGAGTTCGTGATTGTTCAGCTAGTTTTACATTGATGAAAAACTGTACTATTTGTAGATTACGTTTTCGCTGCGGATCCATGTGGTATGCCCTAGTTGTACTCGCCTTGTGCGTTTGACTCCGCGTTGCAGTTACTGCATAAATTTAACCAATTCTGCCTTTGATAAATACCATCTTTGCGTCTTGAGGGCGTGTTGCAGATAGGTCCGCATAAACTAGGTGTAGACATGGCCCGATCGTCCCGGATTGCCCATCCAGTCAACTGCTGTCGAGTGATCCCCTCCGTCTGGTGTTCTGCTTGAGACCCCATCGGAAGAGGGGCGTGGGATGCAGTCCGTCACCTCTAAGAAGCGACCGGCCTCTCCAGACATCCAGTCATCGCAGAGACAAAGTCAAGAGGGCCTCAACGTCTTCTCAAGCGCAGACTTACGTTACCCCAGGGCAGCGTCTTCCTCCAAAGGGAAATCACGAAGTCATCGAGAACTTTCTCCAGGCGAGATCGTTCCAGCAGCAGAATTGGGCCTCTCGATGACCAGCCGATCATCATACCCGACATACGCCACAAAGAAGCGACCAGTGACAGCGACAGTGGCGTCAGCAGAGATCAACAAGCAGCCTGATGCCTCTACACTGATGTCAGGCGAGAGATGCGGCTGAGGGCCCCACCGCTAACACAGCAGAAAGGGCACCATCTACTCGTCGCAGATCATCCCAAGCGATCTTATGGAAACAGATCATGATTATGATGGAAGGCCACTATAGACTGGAGAAGCAGCCATCCCAGGGTCCGAGCCTTGCCGAAGGCTCCAACGTAGACAGCACCCCAGGGGCACCATCTGTCAGCGTAGCAGCCGCGCGACAATGCAGCCTTCGCGTGAGGAAGTCACAGACCACCTCGACGAAGGACAGATGTACAGCCTTGGCGAAGGCCGCAGCGGCGGGGAAGAATCATCACCTTCTTCCGGTCATACTCAGATATGGAATCTGATCACCAGACCACCGCGCAAGCCTTCGCGAAGGTCATATCATCGTTCCCCAGGACCCGGACGCATCGAAGAAGCTTGGCGTTAGCGAAGGACACCTGAACCCAGATCGTCTTCATCTAAAAAGATCATCAAGGGACTACACAAGAGCTTCAGCTGAGCTATCAGTCCCCTCATAGATCGCCAAGAAGGTCAACCTATCGATATAGATCACCAAGGCGATCACCTGCGCCGATCTGCGTCGATCACCTCACAGGTCTGCACATAAGCCTACAACTAGATCTCCCAAAGCGTCAAAGCGATATAGAGATAGAGCCACACAGCCCTACATCAGAAGAGCAACAACCTCTTATCTATGATGATGGAATGGAAGATGATGGAGGAATTATTTTCTCAGATGCAGAGATAAGATATTGGATGGTCAATAATCTAGATCTCTCATCACCTTCAAGAGTGGCAATAAAAGCAGACTTATCTGATGAAAGAAGATGGCGCAGATGCTATTACACTACCCCAATCGACCCGATTGCGGCGGTACCTCAGAACCTAGATACAGCATTTAACAAAGCCACAAAGGTTCAGGCGCCACATCTGCCAAATTTCAGCCAAGAAGTTCTCCACGCATAATATGGAACCCTTCTTCAAAGCGCCAAGACATCGATGAGAACTATAAGCTGATCTCCGATGCCAAGAACAAGTACTACAAGATTGATGATCGGAATTGGTTCAGATAGAAACCATGGACGCAGGCGTATGTTCTTCGGTCTAAATAGATCTAGAACAATAAATGAGACACTTATCTCCAGATTTGAACCGACCTCTGAAGATGACAGAATGATTTTACCGGCCCTACTGATGCAAAGAAGGACCAGCAGTTTTTAACAGATCATCTGACGTCTGTCTCAGCAGCACTGACCTTAGCTCGTCGTCAAGGCCTCCTAGCTTCCTGCAACTGGGGTGAGAACTTTACAGCTCCACTATATACAGCCCGTGGTCTTCCCCATCCATATTGGCGGAGGAATAGACACAGTCTCCAAAGAAGTCACCAAGGATTCTAGAAGTCCTGATGATTAAATCGATGGACACGCTAGCCAGTGTCATTCGACAGACTTCACAAAGATACTCAGGAGATCTAAATTCACCGCGGGCCTACAAAGAGCTAGAGACAGGAAGATTGCCAGTTCAGGGAAGAGATTCTTTTAAGTAAGCCCATATGGCAACTATAGAGGAGAGTCAGGGCCGAGGCAGGACACCCAGAGGTTCCCGCAACTATAATCGCTGAAAGACAGGTTCGAACGACTGGAGTCTTCCACCCCAGCGTTCCAGTACAACCGTCACAAGTGGGTGGGCGTCTTCAACTACACTGGGAAAACTGGGGGAATACTTCAAGACACCTATGTCTCCAACATTCTTCAGCAGCAGTTCGTATCCCACTACAGGCCAAGCCTCCACTAACAGTCAACCCTCACAAGTTCGAGGTAGAGGCACAACAACTACTAAAGTTAAGAGAGGCGGTTACATTACTCCTAACCAAGCAGGCCATAGAAGTAATAGAGCAAGGAAACATCGAACCAGGTTTCTACTCCCCAGTTTTCCTAGTACCCAAGAAGAACTCCAGGAGAAATACAGACTCATTTACAACATGAGCTTATTCAACAAGACTTACTTAAACAAACCACCCAGGTTCACTATGATACATCTACCGCAGCTTCTGACAGATGATTAAGCCCCATGGACTACATGGGCAGTATAGATCTACAAGATGCTTATCTGCACATCCCAATACATCCCGAATCCAGGAAATACAGCCGGGTTCACGCTAGGCGGGTTACATTACCAGTGGAAAGTACTCCCATTAGGAATAGCATCAGCCCCATGGTTATTCACGAGGATAAGCGAAACCGATTGTTATCTATCTACATCGTCAAGGAGACTCGCGAGTGCGTTCTTCCTCGACGGCGGGATACAAGTAGATCAAGATCCACAGCATCTCAAACTACAGTTAAACTACATCATAAAGCTACTAACACAGCTGGGATGGTTAGTAAACTTACACAAGTCGGACCTAGTACCATCGCCAAGATCTGCAATTCCTAGGAATCCGATTTATCACCAATCTCAACCGTATAGTCGTACCAGAAGACCGTTGGCTCAAGATCCAACAGATCATTCCACCAGCTCTACTGTCACGCTACCACCCGACAATGGCAGAGCTTACTAGGTCTTCTAACATCAGCCCAAGACTTGACAGTCATAGGCAGATTACAGATTCGTCCGTTACAGGTCTTCCGTCAATACACATCTCGGCGACCTACAACCATTCAGTCTACCGATACATCTCAGACCTCATCTATTATGGTGGACAAAAAGAAATGTCTGCGAAGGATTTGTTTAGCAGAGCAGGAATTCAAGACCCATCTATATGTAGGCGCGTCGCCCAAGGTTGGGGAGCTCATCTCTCCAACCGGACGGCATCAGGGTTATGGACTCAGCTAGAAAGCAAACTCCACATAAGCATTAGAGATGAAAGCTGTAATCAGCGCCATAAGACATTGGAGCAACATTCT